CGAGGAAGTGATTGAAAAAAATATACGAATGAGATTACATAACCATCTGTAGCAAACAATCAAAAGTTGCATGATTAAAAAGGAGTACCTAGGTTCGACTTGAAGCAACAACAAAAACAGTTAAGGTCATTTTTTGCATAAAGAAAATTCAAAAACTGAAATAAAAAGGTGTCACTGCCGCAAAAGGAAGACAGAATAGCTAGTGATTTTGACAGATATTACCAAATAACGAAATGTAAAAAACCACGAGAAGTTGGGACACAACGCGGTTAGAAAAACATGAACATTACAAAGAAAAAAATCATATGCAAAGTAGGACAATGGGTGACGCCCAAAGACAGCCCACAAGAGCAGATGAGCAAAGGTCAACACACACACCCTATTCACTTGTGTAAAGTAGATTAACTCATACATCGCTTTGAGTGTGCTCTTCCATCATACCACCAGCATATGAACTTCCACCCTCACTAAAAGACCAAAAGGAAGAGACAACCAAAATGGACCACTCAATTAAGAGGATAAGAATATCTGTACATTTGGTAGACATATACCATTCCAGGAATTATTCTAGATACACTGTTCTTTGCTGAATTTATGAGAGAGAGGGAGATGCAACAAAAAATTATCTTATCCACAAGGATTAGCATTGAAAATTCAAATTGCTAGAAAGAAATTTGATTGGCAAACATTTTGTCCAAAAAAAGAGATGACATTACCCTGTCCAGATCAGTGTGCGTAAGAGCAACATGGTCATTGCATGCAATGCAGTTCCCAAGAGCAGATAGTCTCTCTTCAATGCGCTGAACAACAACTTGATCTGGCAGACTGTTCCTTAAGTGTTGAAGTTCTTCAATAAGTCCAACAAAAAATACCATCAAATGTGAGTCCTCCATTGGTAAACACTGACAGATATCTAAACTAAAATTTGTAAGACAGCTGAAGTAAATTAAAGTACGCATGAAGCAGAAATTGAGAAAGATATCCTTCAAAAAACATATTATAGCTAATAAGTAACTAACAAGTCCCAAAAAATTCGTAACTGCTGAATCCATTGAAAATAAACACATCAGTAGAAGTTACCAACCAATACTTCTAGACAAGCACCAGCTTGTTTAAAACTGTTTGGAGTTTTAATAATATATCTGGACACACATGCCCTTTAATTAAATTGATACCACTAGCTGATATTGCCAACATTGGAGGTCAAAGGACACCACAGCATATCCTGGTGCAGATTAATCATTGTACGTAACACCACTGACTGATACTGCAAATAAGGGAGCTTAAAAGGCACACGATGACCAATGAGACTTTAAATACATAATCACAATTCATCAGTTTTTTTCTGGCCCAAAATAAGCTCAAATTGACCAAGGATGAGCTCGAAAATCTTCAAATATTAGTCATGCCGAAAAGAAGAATCTGATATTTTATGAAAACCAACAATAGTTTACAAAAGTGTAACTACACACAACTGTGGAATTACAAAGTTTTCATTAGCATAACTTCCAAGTTTCTTTCACGGAATTTTAACCAAGCTTCCAGTAAATTGCCAAAGCCCATGACATGGTATTCAACTCATAGAACATATGCCAGAGCTCAAAACTGGGATACAGTTTATAAATACACATTGCCCATACCAACCCAACTTTTCCTCATATGAACTTTTTTTCTCCTGTGACCTGGACCCCTAAGGCATTATGCATGAATAATCTTAATCATTTGAATAAAATGCCTAAGAGTTCTGCCAAGTTCTTGTTGTGTTAACTCTTCAGTTTGATGCCTAAATCCAACTCTATTTCTGAAAAAAACACTATATATCAAAATTTTTCTTATCAGAAAAAGCAAGCAACTACTCATAAAATTAAGCTGATTGATGGACAGACAGCCACATAAACTGTCAAACTGCAAAACCTTGTTTCCTGTCAAAACCTATCATGTAGGCACATGTGAGTGTGTGTGTGTGTGTGTGTGATGTAAGGATCAAATTGCAAATCCTGTTAAAAGCATGGGGAGAAGAGTGAAAAAGAAGAAACTTGCAAAAAAAATGCAATTAATGACAAGAACAATAATAAATTATGGATAAAATATGTGTACAATACTTCTGCAAGTAGTAATGTTTGTGTCACAGAATCACCTTGGTCGGTAGTTGTGTGAGGCACAAGAAGCCCATTTTTGTTTCCTGCCATACAAAGCATGCAATTGCATTAAATTACTCATTATACAGTTCAGAACATTTCATAAGGGCATTCTTGTGCAATATTATAAAAGAACGTCAATATCCTCACCGGCACAAAGTCGTCCAATTATCCTAGTCCCACCAATGGAGGTTTTAACCACCGGAATAACATCCACTAACTCACCCTCAAACAAACTGCACGAGACGTTATGTTAACCATATACATATATCTACTCCAACCAATTATGAACTACAGAACACAAAAGACTGGATGTACTCATCAACGAAACAAACCTGTAGAAATTTTCAGAACCTCCGATGGCAACCAGACAGTATGCATTCGTCAGCTTGGAAAACACCCCAACTTCACATGAGTTCTCAAATTGCAGCCCTTCACAAAACTCATGCCAGATTAGATCAATTAAATCAATAAGAGAAAGGTTTTTGTTTCACAAATTCAAATAATAAAACCGATTAAAATCCTATAACCAGTCAATTTCATTCCAACCACAACAAATCTCTCTCTCTCACACCCACACCCACACACACACACACACACACACATATATGTTGATACAAATTGGGTACCTGAACAACTTACTAGTTGCCATGATGAGAAGAAAAAAGGGTTGGGAGTAATTTATGATTTCAGAGAAGGAATAGATCTGCAAAAGTCATAACACAGCACACAAATAGTTTCAGAAAACGAACCAACAATTAACAACGGGTGTGTGAAAAATTGACACCCAAAACAAAAAGAGATTCAAATACCTTTTGCTCCAAGTAATCAGTTTGCCTCAAGACCGCAGCTTTGACGAAACGCAATTCTTCAATTAGGGTGTTGTGGATAGTGTTTTAAACAAACGATGATTTGTGTTTTAGGGTTGACTTTATTCGGCTTCATCTATGGTCTCAATAGTACATAATGTCATTAATAAAAATCATGGGGCTTGAACTGAAAAAATGTTAATCACACTTTTTACCTCTAAAATATGATCCAACTCAACTTTGATTCTTAAACCTTTTTGTGTCGATGTCATCCTCATTTATAGTTATTATTAAAGCATCTCTATCCTTGACTCAAATTATTACTTAAATTTAAGTAAAAAATTTAATTTAATACAAAATACTTTAACAAAAAAACTCAAATTTAAAAGAGAACAAATTCAAACTTAAATGAAAACAAATTCAATTTAAGAGAAAATAGAATATAACCATTAAATCTTTAAAATATAATGAAATCTGATAATTTTAGAGTAAAGGTTTAAGTCTCCCTACATTTTGGAAAAAATTTATAAATTATAAATTTATTTTTAGGTCTAAAGTAAAATAAATAAAAAAATTTGAGAAAATCCTCCAAAATAATATATGTCATAGTCTTACCATAGTTTTTGGCTAGTCTGACAAAAGATAAAACACATCAACCGTTTAAATTGAGCAAAATCCGCATAAAAATTGGTTCATTATAAAATGATGTTTCAATTATTGGATAATAAAAACTATATAAGAGCCTAAAATATTATTAGTGTTTTTTCTTTACGAGAGAATAATTGTACAATTATAGTGTTTGAAATTGACTAAACCTAATTACAGAACAATCTGGGATGTAACCCAGAGGGTGTGTGAACATGTGTGTGATAGAAAGTGTGTCAAGTGTTAAATGTTAGACAAACACCACAATAAGAGTGGTTCACTCTAATCGAAAGACTAAAGTTACATCTACAAGAGGCTCTTACTATTTGAGAATTGTATTGTTTGGGAAAGAAGATTGTTGTTACAAGATATTTAGCTGAAAGTTTTTTACAAAATATTGCATAGGTTATTTCTGGGTGGTCTCTTTTTTCTATCTGTGTCTTATCGTTAGTTATTTATGCATCCGATTGTTAGGTTTTCGTGGTGATTACATTTTGGTTGATTTTGTGATCTTCTCTGTGTTTGTCTTGTTTCGGAGGCTACCATCTTTGTCGCTTTTTATGCATCAATTACACATCGATTGAAATATGTGAGTCATCTCTACTACCAGTGGATATTCGTTCATCAGAATTATCAAGTATTGCCCTCTGTCCCCTATCCACGTTGTTGTGTTGTAGTTCTTGCTAAATAGCTTGGTGTCCAACTTGAGTCCAATAAATGTTATCTGAATGAAGTGATTTCGCCTTACGTGAACCCAAAGAATTTGGGCTCCAAATGAGGCACATACTTAAATTCATCATCATCAATAAACATCAAATTATCACACAAAATTACAATACTCAATACAGTAACTAAAAATAGAGAAGAAAGTAAAGGCGAATATAATTTGCAATTAATCAATTAGTCCTCCATCACTCTTTCAAGGACGTAAGGTTGAAAGATTGAGAATAATTGACAAATTTTAATATGCACAGCTGTAATCGGGCTGCTCATTGGATGACAGCTGCTAAACTAACCAATTTTCTACCTTTGAACTGGTTAGGCTTCCCCTCTCTCGAGCTTAAGGCTTCCCTCCTTTCTGATTGTAACCAAAATTTTCTTATATAATCTATATCAACACTTTCTTGTTTTGATCAAAAAAGAAAATGCACAGCTTACTAAAAAACAATAATCACCCCCGAAATTAATAAATTCTAATATATTGAATAATTTCAACCACAAATAGAGATTGTACCTAATGAGAGGCTATAAAACAAATGATTGTGCCAAAGTTTGAAAATTTCATTAATTTAATAAAAAAATTATGGAATGATACTAATAATTTTAAAAACTTTGGATCTGAAGTTTTGTGTTGATTTAATATCCCCTGATATTTAAAATATTACACATAAATCTCTTCAAGTTTGTACACATGTAATACTTAGACCATTATTGTCAATGTTCGTTAATAAATTATACTTAGGTAAAAAAAAATTAGATTTTTTTATTTATTTTATATCAATGACATAATAAAAAATGAATTTTGATTGTAAAATTTAAAATATTTGATTAAAATATTTTTTGTCTAACTATAACATTGAAAACTTGAGGAGTTTAAATATTATGCACATACAAATTTAAGGGAATTTGTGTGTAATTTACTAGACGGGGGTGTCAAGGTCTAAAATAACTTTAGTAAAATATATATTAAATTTAATCTTTATTCTAAATTTAATATAAATCACTAATCATAATTTGTGTTCTCTTACTAATCTGATATTCTATATATTGTTTTAATAAAATATATAAAAAAAATTTACATTCATCTATTAATTTCTCGAAAGTGGAATAATGTGCACCAATTGTGAGATTTTGTTTTGGTTTCTATATGTTTTTATGCCAGTTTTATCCTCCAAAAGAATTTATAAATACTCTTTATTTCATAAAAAATAATTATCACGTATCAAGTGCATGGTATGTGAAATTTCAACAAATGAAAAATAAAGTAAAAGTTACTCAATTTAACAAATTTTTATCTTTTTTTTAATTCTAATCTTATTTTCTCATTAATTTTATTTAAAATCATAATTTCTATTAAATAATTTGTTTTTTTATGTCAAATTATAATGGGTTAATTATAAATTGCACTTTGAAAGATCGTTCAAATCTCAATTTGCACCCTTACAGATAAAAAATCTCAATTTATACCCTCAAAGATAGAAATTTATATTAATGTGCACCCCCAAAGATCAAAAATTTTAATTTGCACCCTCAAAGATAGAAATTTGTATCAACGTGCACCTAAAATTAAATTGATAAATTATACCTAGATCCTCTTATACTTGTCACTTAATCATTTAAACCCCTTCACTTTTAGAATATTACTGTTACATCTCATGACGTTTGTGCCCGTGTAACACGTAACCCCTTTTTGTTGATATTTATTAATATAATCGTTAAAAAAATAAGATTTTATCCTAATAAAAAATTATAATTTCATATTATTTTATGGGTCCAATATACTCTAAAATTCAAAATCAAGCTTACCATTTGAATGTCTAATAGAATAAAGGATTACACATTGAGTGATATATTGTATTGAATATAAAAAATATTATATAAATATCTACATTCTATTGGACATTCAAAGTTTGATTTTGAACTTTAGAATATATTAAACCCACCAAATAAAAGGTAATATGAACATATAATTTTTTATTAGGATAAAATCATATTTTTTAACGGTTATATTAACAGATATCAACGAAAATGAGTTACGTGTTACACATGGACAAACGTTATAAGATGTAAGAGTAATATTCTAAATATGAAGGGGTACAAATGATTAAGTGATAAATATGAGAGGATTTAGGTATAATTTATCAATTTAGTTTTAGGTGCACATTGATACAAATTTTTATCTTTAAATGTGTAAATTGAGATTTTTTATTTTTGGGGGTGTACATTAATACAAATTTCTATCTTTGAGGGTACAAATTGAGATTTTTAATCTTTGGAGATCTAAATTGAGATTCGAACTATCTTTCATGGTGTAACTTGCAATTAACCCAATTATAATTATTGTGTCTTTTTTTTCATTTTTTCATTTTATTTATTTTTGATTATAATACTTTTGAAGACTTAATTAATCATTCGCCCTTTGTGTAGAGATGACAATGAATCGAGAAAAAGTGGAGATTCGTCGAAATCCATCCCATTTGGACCAACGATGGATAATCCTTATTAGACATTAGACGTATAAGTAAATATTCGTATAAACCGTGCGGGTATTGAGAAGTGATGGACTATATATATGGGTAAATTATATTTTGACCTCTTAAGATTTACCACTTGAACATATAAACCCCCTCACATTTTAAAATTCAATAGCAACCAGTAAACAATCCTAACAAAAGTTACAAAATATCTATTCGACCTTTTGATAAAAAAATAAAAAAATCAATTTGATGGTGATTGACACTACGGTGGTGGCAATGGATGTGTGATGTGTGTCTCTGCCTCTGTTTCTGTCTTTGCGTGGTCAGTTTCTATATATATATATATATACACACACACAAACTGAGAGAGAGAGAGAGAGAGAAAGAGAGAAACAGTGAATGTGTGAGTGAAAACCCACATATGTGATCACTTGATTTGGGATTTGGGATGTCGGGGGTTTTATGAGTTTGCAAAGTCCGGTGTCGATTTTGGGGTTTAGAGCTTAGGTAGTGAAAGGTGGTCAATTTTCCAGACTCTCTCTATCTCCTTCAATGCTAATTCCTTCGTTAGTTTTTGAATTCTTCCATTCTTGAATTAAATCAGAGTCACTTATTCCAATCATAAAAAATAAAGAATTCAAGAAAGGGTGGTGGTATATGTATGTCAGTGTGCAAATATGTATTTAGAGGGGGTTGGTAGCTGTATAAGCTATTACTGGGTAAGGGGAAATAAGAAAGAGGATCGGGTGGTGGCTGGGTAAAGGGCGATGCGTAGAGGTTGGTGGCTAAAGTTTTTGACAGAGTTAGGGTTGGTTTCTTTTTTTTTTATGACAATTTTTCTAAATTGTTGAGTTATGTGGGATTTATTTGATTTAATATGGTTCTTGTAAGGGGTAATTTAGGAATTTTGATTTAAAAAATAATTGACAGCATTAAAATTGGACGACACTTTAACCAGATTCTAACATTAAGGGCCAATGTGTTATAACAAACCAAATCTCAAGGAAGGGCAATGTTATTTTCAATACCTTAGGGGGTCTGTTTGATTAAATGACAAACCTCAGGATTTCGAATGTAATTTACCCTATATATAAACATATCTATAGAACGAAGTTTGAATCCAAAAGACAAAGATATCTTCGATAGTTTTGTTGCTTCACAAATTTTGGTACTTTTCTTTGATAGTATGTGGGTTTGATGCCTTTTGTTGATTTTCTAATTTTTGATCCATCTGTTGCAAAGTGAGCTTTGTTTTTGATGACTTATTCTTTGATTTCTTTCTATGGGTTTCTACTGGTTGTTAAGAAAAGGATGACAGAAAACATTATGGAACTTGAAAGCTTAGAGCTGATTTTTCATATACTTTTCGTTATAGTTGCTAAGCGTTATTCCATATACTCTTCGTTAGTAGATCTGATATTTCAGTTATTAAAGATAAATCAGTTTGTTTTGACAAAGTTCCTCAATTTTTTGAGGAAATTAAGTAAAAGCTCCCTGTCCCTCAAATTTTTATGTTTTCTTATAGATCCATGGCTTAAGTATGTAAAAGTAGATGGGCTTCCCTTTTACTAGCTTTCTTACATTTTCCTTTAACCCCATTCGACCACCCGAACCCCGTTTGCATTGCATGGTACTGGAAAACAAATTTGTTTAAAGCAAGTTTGTTTAGTCTATCCATGAATACCAACTGCCAAATGTTAGAAACGTAGTGCAGTCCTTACTTGGGGTACATATTCGCCACCACCTCCAAATTTTAATGTATGGTTGTTTGATATCCATTTTATTTTTTTTTGTTTTTTGTAGTGGGAAGCTGTTTCGAAAAAAAATTTTGGTAACAAGTCCACCTTTTTTTTGATAAAAAGTTACAGGTGGTGAATCTACAAATACTTACCGATCCCCTCCAAGTTTAAAGGCTCTTACAAACCCAACATAATAATTTTTTCTTTGATTTTTCTTATTTTTTGGAGGAAATTTATATTATTGGTTTGTAGTTTTTGGTTTTTTTTTTCATGACGAATTTTGCATTTGTATGTTCATCAAACTAAGTTGTACTTCTCTGTATGTCTTTTTCATTTCAAACTTAATTTTTTTTGTTAGACGATTCTCATGTCTTTATCAAATCACATTACTCTTTGAACTGGGTTTGTGTGATCTGATAAGCTTGAAGGGCTAGCAAATAATGCTTCTCATACTCTTTTCCAAATTCTCTTCATCTACATGTGCGACAACTACTACTACAGGATCATAGACAGATTAAATCTTTGCGCTCTAAGTTTAAAGTCCTCAACTAGATGCTTTATGATGCCACATGCAGATATGCAAATCAGGTTTCCATATGGGATCAATCCAGATTTCTACTTCACTATGCTTCATGATCAAAATAACAAAAACAGTCCAATTAAACAGTCCAGAATTCATGCTCATTCTAGTATGAGGGCTAAAGACACTCAAGATATTAAGAATAAAGCAGGCACCTGTTCTCTACCTCATGATCTACTTGGCTTTTTGTATTATTGGAGCAGGATCTTGACAAGTTTTGTGGGCTCTGTTTTCTCTGCTGCCTCTTCTAGAATTTCCTTAATCTCTGATTTGGCTTGGTTCTTCATGGCTTTTATAATTTATGGGGTGCTTTGCTCTCTGATGGTTGGCATTCTTTTCCAGTTCTCCTTAGTCTCTCTAGGGAGGTCTCTCTTATGCTGCATTCAAATGATCTTAGTTATTGAAAGAAGAGAAAACTCATTATCGAAGTTATTTTACAAGCAAATAAATTTCAGAGAAACAAATAAGGTTACTTATCTTTTCATCTGTTTGGATCTCTCAATTTTCATTAGTCTTCTCTATTCAAGATGGACAGGTTATGGAAGGAACCTGTTCTTCATTCTGGTATTTTGGGGTTGTTCTCTGCCTCTTCTTCATGGTGGTTTTTCTTTTATATACCTTCTTCATCTAGAGTGTCAAAGTTTTTGGAAGACTTTTCTCTGCTGCGTAGCTGGATATTCATCTTCTGCCTATTCTCTACAAGGAGTCGGGTTCTTCATCTTAGGTTTGGATCTGGCCTTCAATGATTGTCCATCTCTCATTTGGTTTACATGGCTTCTGCTTCTCTGCTGTTGTATTGTCTTCAATGGAGGGACATTAGAAAATTTACTGAAGTTTTTTGGAAGCCTGTTCTTCCAAGTTTTCATGGTTCAGAGTTTCATTGCAATAGAATTCTCGATTTGCCCTTTCAATTTCGTTATCAAGTGTCTGATCAGATGCATTATCAGACTCATAGCAGATCACTTTCGCCTATTAGCTGCCCCTTATCAGTCTGTGTTTTGCATTTAATCAAATTATTTTACCTTAGCTTATCACTAATCAGGTTATGATTGGATTCAGCTTAAAGTTCTCACCTGTTGCTACTCTAAGCTCACACTTTCAACTGCTATAGTTCTCAGTTTATTCACTCAGCTTCAGAGATTGCAAAGGCTCTTAAATGTTAGAGTAGATTCAGATCATCCTTTAGCTTGGTCTATCTCCCAGCTTCAGTTCGCAGCTCACATTTCCTGCTCTGTTATGTTCGGCTGCTTCATTATTCCTGCAAGTATTTTGATACACCAGCTGACACATTTAGGCTTTAGGTAAGATACATAAGTCTCCCCTGATTAGGTGTAATTTATTTTTGAATTAATAAAATCTCCCTCGCACCGTCGATGTTCCATTAAAAAAAAAAAAGTGCCAAAAGCGTAATGACTTCAACTAATCTTTAATGTGTGGCATGATATCATGGTTGTAGTTTTAGTTATTATAACTGTTAGATTGGATGATAATTAGATTTGTGAGAATGGATGAGTGAAAATTGAATTAGTAGTGTTTATGACACTCTAAGTGAGTTTGTTTGGATCGGAAGACTTTGTTTGGTATGGTTTGAGAATCAGTGTGGTTTGCAATGAATGAAATCATATAACTTTCATGTATGTGTGATGATTTTAATTATCATGATTTTCTTGGTCAATTAGTGAAATTTGTGTTTAGCCAATATAAATACTGATATGTTGTGATGGTAGTTGGTAATTACTATAATGTTGTTGTGGTAGTTGGTATGATTATGAAATTTTGTAGGTAGGTTGATATAGTTGTAATATCATATTTTTTTATAATATTTTGTTGAAAATTTTAAAATTTTCTTCACTGATTTCAATTTTTTTTTAATTTGAAGCAAAAAAAAGCTTGGTATGTACTTTTGGCTCGATAAATGTCAAGCGTGCGTGAATTAAAGGAAGCAATTTTGACTTTTAATTTAGTTCGTATTCAAGTTCAGTGATCTACTATTTTGTGCTCAAATTTAATATTTGATTATTCTTTAATTACACCGTGCGTTATTTCTATTATATATATATACTCCAAGCCCTAAACGTCTCATTCATTCGGTACTCCACGACTGCCTTCGCCGACCGCCGACTGCCGACTGCCGACTGCCGACTGCCGCCCACTGCATCTCTCTCTCTCTCCCCATTCTTGCCCGATAATTTTCAGAGACAAAGGAAGAACTGAAACAAATCGATAGAATTTAAACGCCGCCAAGAAGACGCCGTCGGCCCCTGTCTTCTCTCTCTCTCTCGCTGATGCTGAGTCGCTGACCCAGGTAACTCCTAAGCGTTCTCTCTCTGTCTCAGTGCTCCAAGATATTTATTAATAAATTATTAAAGGAACTAAAACTAAACCAACTGGCATGTTCATGTGGGTTTCCCAACTGTGTAGGTTTAAATTACAAAAAAAACTTAGTTAGAGAGCCTTGCCGGGGATTGCATTATCATTAGCTATCTCGGAGATAATGGGAGTGCAATTAGCAGCAGAGCAGGCAGGGTTCGTTGAAATGGAGAATGTTATTTTCACAGATTCAGAGTTGGTGCATCATGTAAGGGACGCCCTCAGAGCTGCCCTCTTGGTAAGCATTCTGAAATGCACTCAAAGTTTTCTTCTTCAACATGGCTTTACTTTACCTATCAAGCAGAAAAAGAATATGTGGCCTTACTTTATCAATTATACCTTGATGAAGTGTGTTATACCAATTGCAGCAAACTTTTATCAGTTATCAGTATTTATATATAGCCAAGTGTCGGGGTTTCAAGAAAAAATGGGTGCTTCATGTTTTCTGTTCCGGATGACTTTGTTCATTTGTACAATCTAATGACCTATTGAGATTGATCATGTTAAGATCTGACATGATAAAATTGTTTTGGAGGTTAGGTTGCTAATTTTAATACAGGCATGATTTTGGTATGATAAGTCTGGGTGATATTTCTATGCCTCCTTTTTTATTTAGTTTATGTTGTAGAACTCTGGAAGCTTGAAGCTTTTGATGTTGGCTGTTATTTCCATCTATTTGACACTTATGTCGTTATCACCATTATTATTTCCCTTTGCAAATTGCTATGATTTTTATAAAGAGGACAGGCATGGATGACTTTTTATAATATTGGCCCTCTTCTATCATCTAATTGTTGGATGATGATGCATAGCTTCATGCCTATCAACTTGGCATAGCATCCAGAATTTATGGTGAGGTTTTGATCAATGATTTGATAATGAAATTATTACTTCCTCAGGGAGACACTGACAATTATAACCAGCTAGTTGGCGTGTTGCACCACAGTGAACGCCTAGCTCCCGATGAGGTGGCCCTTCTTGTGGTATGTTGTACATGAAGATAAACTAATATTTTGAGATAGTAGATGCTTTCCACAATTGCTTTTTAAATTGTTTCCCTTTTTTGTTTCTCCCATGCATTCCAGACTAGTTTAAAGGCTATAACTGGAGCAGTTTCATACGTTGATGTTGTGCACCATCACTCTCTTCTTTCTTGTGTAAGATATTGGTACACGTATTGATGGTTTGGTCACAATTTTTGTGTATCATTGTTGACCTTGATTATCATAAATTGCTAATATGAGAGTGGTTTCCAGATATGTGGAATGAGTTTGTGGAACTATGGGCCTGACGTGATGGATGCATTGGTTGAATTAATGACATCCTTGGTACGTGCGTGATATGCATTGCCTGCTAGGTTGTTTTGTTGAACTCTGGCAGGCCCTTATGATAATTTCATGGTTTCTTGCATTTGCAGGCTGCATCCAGTGGGAAATATGTTGATTTATGCTTGGATATGCTCGTAAGCAATTTTATGCCTCCTTATTCTTTCCTAGAATCGCTGAAGGAGCCTCGTGGTATTGCAAGAAAGGATCAAGTTCTTGATCGTGTGCATTTAGCACTGAAAGACATTGCTGATTTATTGCCTCTTATCCCTTGGAGATTGGAGAAAATAATCATTGATAGAATGCCAAATATATATACAAAAGAACCTGTGAGTCCAAATAACACCTCTCAACTTGGAATTTAAGCTTTCCTTGAATTATCCAAATATTTTTTGAGTAGATACATACATGAGATTCGTGGGGCATACTGTTTAATAAGTGAATATTTGCAAAGGCATGGAAGCAAAGTTTATTATTGTAAGTTCATTATCTTACCATTTTGATGGTTAGTATAGTACACCCAAAGTGGTTTGGGCTCTAGCAAGTGTTTCTTCAGTTAAATCAAAACATCCACTTATGCACTAGGCATGGCCTTTTAGCCTTTTTATGTGCACCTATTTTAGTTTTGTACTAGTTACAGTAATGGCACCTGCAAAATGTGGGTTAGGAACCCCAGGCAATGTTGTGGGCCTTTGCATCGATGCAGTAGTTTTTATCATTTCTTGTCCAGCAAATCATGAGTCGCTGTAACCTTGTTTTCTAATGCAGTTTAAATTTTTTATTATTAATCCATGCAGTTGATCGTGATATATGTGGAGAACATGTTAAGGTTGGAGAGTGGTCCCATGGGAGAACTTGTTGGGAGCATGATGATTACTGCAGTGATGGATAGGCTGATAGATTTGGATGTGAGTTGTTCAAACTTGATTAGAAAAACGCTGGTCAAATGAAAGTTTGCACTTATTTAACAAAATGTTGTGATCGTCTCATAACAGGTGGAAATACCATGGGAGGAAATTTTACAGGATGATTCCAATAAAGGCATCTTTGAGATGGAGCTTGAAGATTTGGAAGTCTCTGCATATTATGCTGAGAATGACGGTGATGAGGTATTCTAATGTATCTATTAAATTTGAGTGCAGCATAATTCAGAACTACCCTTTTGTGAACCACCTGGTCTATGTGACAAATGGGCGCTAAATGTCCTCATGTTGTCAGTTTAGTGATTGTGTACCATCAGGAAAAACTGATCCCTGAGGTTAGAAATTAAGGCTGCTACAATCAAATAATGATGGTGGGTAGGGCTTTGGTTTATGGGTTTTTTGTTGAAATGCTTACATTGAGGTGGTGGGAAGAGTCAAATTGTTGTGGTTAGACCAGCTGAGGGTACCTGCGGGCGTAAATCAATGGGAATCTTTCTGGAAATTTGGACACAAAAGAAAACAAAGATTTTTAGTTAGATTATGGTGGGTAAATTAAGCCTAGGGTCTTTAGATAGATATTTTTTTTGGGTAATAGAAGCTGGATGCTTGAAGGGCTGGATGTGCCTCTTTAGTATTTCAGCGTAGTGGTAACTAAATTAAGGAAATATATGATGAATTTTATAATTTTACGGAACCCTTTTGAGTCTCATCTAGAAGAAATTAACGGAGTCTTACCTTTGAAGGAGACATGTTGAAAGAAATTTTTTATTAATCAGACTTGTTTGAATTTGTGCCTGCTTGTATTGTTGGGTAACTATTGTGGAGCTATGAACTTGTTTTGAGGCTTATATGAGACAAATGTTTTCGTGTTGAAATGAAGATTTAAATAAATTCAAGCAAGGAAATCAAGTGAAACTATGATACTCGTGGGAATCTGATTTTTCAGACCAAAAAGACTAAACTAAGTGGGTCATTCTGACCCCTCCTTAAGTTGCTCCTCTAGCACATGTGATCTATGGCTGGTCCCATCAGCTGAAAGTGAGCCCACATGATTCCTCCATGGTTTTTTGAATTTTAAAGAAGCCCCTTGACAGACAGGCATATAGAACAGTTTCAGCCCTTCTCTTGGCACCATCAAGAGTTCGTCCTGATGACTGTGTGTATTTCCCTACTCAATATGGAGGAAGGTGAGGATGAGGTCAAGTCATCATTCCCCTTGCACCTGGGCGATACGTGCTACAATCGCCGGGACAAAGGATCGCAATCCCACTTCAAAAGTATTTACGCTCAAAGACCAAGTACAAATAACTGAGATTACTTCCAAAAAATGGATCAAATAAGGTGAACATCCTTCCGTCTGTCCAGTCTTGTATTTTCCTGTGGAGGTTGACGTTGTCCTTAAGTTATACAGAAATTAATGTGGAACTGCAAGTAGGACCATGCCCATACATAAAATCCCGGTGAATTGTGTTTTTTTAAAAGTATAATTTGTTTGTGATATGTGATCTTCCAAATTAAACATGATTGTTTGGTGGTATGCTAATGAGATTCATGTTTTCAGCTTCCAAGGGAATTTTTGAGGCAAAGGCTATTTGGGGGAAACTTAGTTGCTGAAAAATTAGATAGCTTGCTGGTGCTCACACTGGAACACCTTAAATCCTGTAATGATGGTGGCCGTTTGATTCAAGTAAGTTCTCTGGTTGTCTTTTCCTCAAAAGGTTTTGCTATCCTGGTTCTTGAAATTAATATGTATTCAATTGCCATGGCATAGGTATTCGAATGTCTCCTCCAGTCATTTGACAAAACTGTTTTGACTGCTTACAAATCAAAATTTACCCAGGTAATTTCCTTGCAAAATATCTAGATGACAAATATCCCGTACCAACACAAATTACCCTTTTTGATTCAATTGCTTTGATTTCTCTTTTTCTTTTTCCATCATATGCATTAAACATCGTCGTACAGTTATTGAATCGATTCTCATAATGATGCACCAATTCACCATCTCATCATCTAATATATGTTGCTTATCTTTTGCAGTTTGTAGTGTTCTATGTCTGTTCACTAGATCCTGAAAATTGTGGAAAGAAGTTTGCGAGTATGCTTGCAAATATTTTTATGAATGATGTCTATGCCGAAAGAAGGTAAAGATGTAGGCAACAAACAATTTTTAAACCTATAGCAGCTTTTGTGGAACAGTAATTACACTGAATTAAAAGGGATATGAGTTTAATGTCTTTTAGGTCACTTATATGGTTGCTTTGAATCAAACGGTAATGAATCTGATGATAAGCGCTTGTAAATCTTGTTTATACTTTATATAGTGTACAGTTTGTACATTTTTACGTAAAAACATCCATGTTCAACATGTACCATATGGCACCGACATGGGCATTTGAAGTAGAGATGTATTTTTATTTTCATATGTCATGTTGTGTTACGGGTTATGCATACTTACTTTCAATTTTGACTCCCCCTCCCACCTTCTTTTTCTATTCTCTATTTCCCAAAAAAAAAAAATATCTGCACCCACAAAACCCTCATATGTGTATAGAGCTGTGGATGATGTCTACCACTGATGGTCGGAAATGTTTTTGTTCGATTGAAAACTAGGCAGGTGGAGTCTTTAAGCTAGTAGTGGATGGGGCTCGGCAATGTGTTCCTTCCTTTTTCTTTATAAAATAATCAGCACTGTTCCAACCCAGTAACACTCAATTGCTTCTGCAAATGAGTTGCCAAGTAGAATTGGTGTTCTGAACTCCAAAAGTTTCATTATTTTGTTTGTAAAGCTCACTTGTGTAGGACCATTACCACGTTACTAATTTATGTACTGGCCTTTTGCAGGATGAGTGCTGTTGCTTATCTTGCTAGTTATTTGTCTCGTGCAAAGTTTCTACCCCCGTCATATGTTGCTACCATGTTGGAAAGGTTGCTAAGCAGTTCCTTATCTGCTTATTATATCTTGCATATGTATCTTTAATAAATTACCCAGGCTTGTAAAAAAAAGGCAAAAGAAGAATTTAAGAATGAAGTGAGAATTTCTGATTCCATGTCATCTGTGTATGTGATGTTTCAGTCTGGTAGATTGGTGTTCAGATTATTGCAAAAGCCAGGATGGTGACGTTAATCCAAAAGCACATAGAGTGTTTTATTCCGGATGTCAGGTATGTGATGATTTGACACCACCTCTGATTATTCCCAGAGCTTAAGAGCCAGGTTAAACTTGTCAGCTGGATAGTTATAGAAAGCATTCAATCTGAGAATTGAGATCAGTAAAAAATAAATTATGTTTAGTATCCATGATAAGAAAGAGGTAGCGACAGTCCTTCAGTAATATTCCTTTTATAACTTCTTATTTGTCATGAGAAAAGACAGTTCAATAGTTTCCAGGTAATCGAGGAAAGATTAATTCATTCTTTTTTGCATTCTCCTGATTCAAAATTTTTTAGTCTCTGGTACTGATCAAATTGTATTGGGTAGTTTAGAATTCTTATACATGTGGATAATCTTTTGATTTCTTCGGTGGTCATTCTACCCTAGACGTGCTGGTTGATTAGGAAAGATGGAATTAATGTTCAATAGGATGAGGCATAAAGCGCATCAAGTATTTAACCACCTCACTATATAGGTTGTAATGCAACTTTCACGCTGTTGAAAAATAATACACTTCATTGTTGTCAGATTGCACATCGTATTATTAAAAAAGATTAAGAATAATAGGTGAATTTTGCACAAATATATCAAATAAAGTCCTCTGATGTTTTGTTTATTTGTAAAAAGAAATCGCAAGTTAAAAATTCAGCTGTTTGTGTGACTGAATGAGATAAAATTTGAACCTCAAAAAAATATTCTCAGTGAATTATAACATCTCATGACATCATTTTGATTTCGAGTTCTACCTCATTCATGTATTTGCAGTTCTTACAATTTCACCAAATGAGTCATGAAGACTGATCCTATGCAATATTTCTTATACAAGTTACTGATGAATATAGAATCCTATGTCCTGGCCAATCAACTGATTAGAAAAATATGTTGTACCAGCAATGTAGAGAGAATAAATAAATGGGATTGTAGTAGAAATGTGAAATATAACTCTACCAAAAATATAAATAAATGAGTGAATGCTACAGAGCATCTTCTCAAATTCAAAAGAGAAATATGAGCAATCATCTTGTTTAATCTTAATTTATTTTGAGACAAAATTGTTATCTTGGAAAGTTGAATTTGTTAAAAAATCATTTTTCTTACAAAAATGTAAAATGGCTTTGAAGGGTGCATGTATTGTTTGTAGCAGATATTATGTGTATTGCACATGTATTATAGCGAGGTGAAGCTACATACACCCCAAATAGCTTTGAGCCTCTTGTGCCCCCCTCTTCTTACCAAAAGAAAGAAACTATTAAATGCTTGTCAACTTTGCTCTCCCAAGTTTGTGAATCTTGGCTTCGCACTTGCATTGTAAAATAGGATGGGAAATGTACTTGTATTTTTCGAATGTGTTGACAAAACATAAGAGACTTGACTATTCAAACTTTATTGGTTGCATAAGGTGCCCCTTACAATACAGCTGTTGCTTGTGATTGCATTAATGTTTTTGCTCATCTTCTGATGTCTACTGTTCCATTATGAAAGATGCATGCAAATAAGGAGACCTTTATATAGGGCTGTTAATCAAACCCGATAACTTGGGCTAGGCTCATTTTTCACTCGCTCATATTATAAAATGAGCAGAATTTAAACAAATTTTTAGGATTTTTTTATCTAAGCTTGACGTATTGGCAAGCTGACTCATTTTTCTACCTATACTAAACGAACTTGTAAATTACTAGTAATCTCTACATTTCAAAATTGAAACCATCATCACCAACATGGGCATGTTTGCCAAGTGCCAACCTTCTTTTCCCCTCGCTATCATGTGGGCCTTGCTAGAGTATATTTAGATATCTAGTGTTTTGGGGTAGTTTAGTCACTTATTTTATTTTGTATTGACCTACTATTTATAAGAGTTTTATTCTGTATTCTGTGAGGATTATAATGGGCTTGGAAGATAAGTTACTTTTTGGGAACGTGTGATTTTTCCTACTATTATGGGTGATCAGTTTGGAAAGAAATGCAAGAATCTTTAAGACAAATATGAGGTAGTTGATGGTTTATGGAATTGTATCTATTTTTAGCAACTTTTTGGGCATCAGTTTCGAAGGAGTATGCAAATATCCCGTCCTTTGGCATTTTGGCAAGCTGAAATGCAGTGTGAATGATTGTTTTTTGCTTTTGTCTTTTTCAGTTATGTCGTGTAAGCATGTTGTTGGTTTTGGCTGATGTATGGACTACTTGCCCATACTTTCTTATAAAAAAATAATTAATTAAGTTCTAACACAAACCAAGTGTGTTATTATTCATTATTTCTCTATTTTGCTTCTCTTTTCTTCGCTTTTTAATCTAAGTTAATATGGCATTAGAACGCGATCTAAACACCATTACCAACTTATCAAATTAATCTGGAGCAAGGACAGAAGTTGAAATGGGGCGGAGTTTATCATTTGTATTGATGTCGTCACCATGACGTTAGCAACCGGAGGCCGCAACAGATTGACTCCTCATGGGCTTCAATTCGGTGCAATTGGTTTCCGATTTGGAGTTCGTTTGAAGAGATTTCTAATTTTTCATAGATTTTTCAAGAAAAAAGGGACCAAAAACCTTGATTTGAGATTTCTTCAAGTTTTGATTGAATTCTTTGCCTTAAATCTGCATCGTAGGTGTGATTAAAATCCTTGGTATTCGATTGGATGTTTTGGGGAATCTCGAACAGATTTTTGGAAGAACATCGGAGAATTTTTTCCGGTTGGTCTAAATTCTGCTCATTGTGGGTGTCGAGGTGTTCTTGTAGGGCATGGTGGGTTCTCCTTTGGTTCTGATAGGTTTTGTTCTGGTTTGATTGAAGGTTTCCTGTGGACAAGTTCTCTTCTAATTCGATTGAAGGCTTGCTATTGGTTTTCTTCTAGTTCTAAAAGGTTCTTTGTCTGCACATTTGGTTCTCTTTTGTCTTTTCTCGTTTGTCTAGTCTTTCTTGGTTCTAACAAGTTGGGGCTGAGACTTTTTAATTGGTTTGTGGGCTTTGTGAGCTTTGGGCCAGTTGTGCATTCTTTTGTTTATTAGGCTTTATCTTTATTGACCTTGGGTATTTGCACAGTTAAAGTGAGTCTTTCTCTGTTTGAAATTTTGGCAAGTGGAAACTCTATTTTCCCGTAGGCTATTAGTGTGAATTGAATTGGTGACAATTATACGTATTGGGCATACGTTATGAAAAAAATTTTGTTGGGTAAAGCATGTAGAGTTATGTTAATGGTGTTGTGATGGCTCCAATAGATATTAAGGCTGAAAAGTATACAAATTCGTAGAGCAGTTGGGACATCAACAATGCTAAAATCATTATCAGGACTAACAACTTAGTTGATTGAACCATTGATGTTTGATCTGGCCAAGTTTACCAAAACCAAGGAAATTTGGGATTACTTAGCTACTTTATTTGCTCAGTCTAATTTTGCAAAGAGGTATCAACTACAGCTTGAAATTCGAGCTTCTTGTCAAGGTGATAGGAACATTCATGAATTTTACTCAGTTACGACTAACCCACTGAACATAGTAGTAATAAGGTCAACCACACCTTTGGAGTGGGGCAAATGTGGTTCAATTTTTGATAGTACTCAGCGATGACTTCAAGGGATTTCGTGATTCAATTCTTCATCTTCATCCATTTCTCTCAGCTGATGCAACAGTTAAATGAGCTTTTGCTTGAAGAGGTGCATCTTAAGACCTTATCTAGAAAAGGTCTTCTTCTATTGCCCTACCCAATTAGACCGTATTGGTTGTTCCTTCTAAGGTGACTTCCAATTCCTAGAAGGGTTGAACTGCTCACATTAGTGTAGCTTTTGTTGTGAGAAGGGCCAAAAGTCACAATGCCCTAAATTGGTGAATAAAAATGTACGAGGATTACTAAATCAATCATTTAAGCTCAAAGATTGTCATACAATAGTAGCATCACCACCCGTGGATAGGTCACTCTAATCAACTCCTAGCCTAACTATGATTGTTGATCAATTATAGAAGTTTTTCTCCCTCCATCAGCCTAGTGCCCTCTCAGTCTCTCCCTTAGTTCACTTTAGGTCCTTTAGGTATATCTTGAATCGCCAAGGCCATTGACTTAGGTGCTACACATCATATAACTAGTGATTCTTCATTCTTTGCATTTATTGTTTCTCTTCCATCTATATTTGAACTTGCCATCAATGGCACTAACGTGTCGTTGGCTTGTGTGGGGACGGTTTTTTTCTCTCTAGCTCACATTTTCAGATGTTTACTATATTTTCCGATTCCTTTGAACTTACTTTCTATTAGTAAGCTATTTGATTGTGGTTTTTCTGTGCATTTCTCTTCCTTTGGTTTTGTTGTGCAGGATCTACGGTCCAATGGACTGGCCACAAAAAAGGATGGTTGTATGTGTTGGATGAGCTCTACTTGTTGCCTCTACCATTGATTTATTTTCTTTTCATTTGAGTCAAAGCTTTGGTCATGTTTCTCATTCTCGTTTAAAATTTTTAGTTTCTACCGCTAGTTTGGGTAGTTTAGACTATCATGACATTTTTTTATTGTAGGGGATTCAAGTTGGCTAAATTTATTACATTACCTTTCATTAAAATATTACTAGCTCTCTTGATCATTTTGATATTTAGGGACCTGCTCTTATCCTTATGTAAGGAGGGTGCAGATATTATGTCTCTTTTATAATGATTACACTAGGTATTGTTGAGTATATTTGAGGTAATGTCATTTCAACTTGTCCTTATTTAATTCATTATGTATTATGATATGCACTCAACATTCCTCTGTTTTTAAAGGTTTTTGTTGTGATAAAAAAGGAGAATATTCTTTTTCTTTCTTTCGTAATTTGTTGAAATATGAGGATACTGTTTATCAATCCTCTTGTACTCACAATCTTGAGTAGAGTGGTGTTCCCGAGCGCAAACATTGTCACATTATGGAGACAATTTGCTTTCTCTTTATGTTGGCAAATGTTCTTAGGTCCTTCTGGGGGCAAGCAACTCTTATAGCAATTCATTTGATTAATTATATTTCAACTATTCTCAATTTTGGTGTCTCTCTATTTGAAAAACTGTGTGATAAGTCTTCTAATTATTTTTCCTTACGTGTCTTTGATTGTACTTTATTTTTTAGGCTTTCTAATGTTCTTTGTACCAAACTTTCTATTCATTTAGTCTTGTGTATTTTCTGGGTTACGATGAGGATCAAAAAAGATATCATTGCTATGATCTTATTAATCATAAAGTCTCTTGCTCTCGCCGTGTTGTTTAATGGAACACATTCCTTTCTTTCTTTTTTATTCTATCTAATTCTTTCTCTCTACATAAATCAGATTTGATATGTATTAATCCTTTTTCGGTTGATGTTCCTTGTGATACATATGTTGGTGATATAACTGTGTCTGATGTACTTTCCTTTTATCTTTTTCCTTTGATTTGTCTATTTCACGTCTTCCTATTGTGCACATTTATGCTCGCAAGAGTTTCGCTATCCTTTACAGTGCCTTCACCTTACTCTCATGTCCCTTTGTCAGGTTCTGACATCGTGGATCATGCTCCCTGCTATCCTAAGCGTTCTCAAAAATATCCAGATGAGTTATGTTTCTTTAACTCATGTTGGCAATAGGCTATGAATGAGGAGCTTTTCTACCTTATGTAAGATCCAAGTTTGGGAGTTAGTGCCTCTACCTTTGGCAAATGCACCATTGATTGTAAGTGGATTTATAAAATCAAAGTCAAATCAGATGGTTTTATGGAAAGGTGGAAGACTCAATTAGTGGTCAAGGGATTTGCTCAAGAATATGATAGCTTTTGCTCATGTTGCAAAGATGACCACTGTTCATACCGTGATTGTCGTGGTTACTATTCGTCAATTGAGTTTTGTCACAAATGGATGTGAAAAATGCTTTTCTTTGTGGACTCCTCTTGGATTCTCTCAGTCTCGGACTAGTATGCAAACTTCACAAGGCTTTATATGACTTTAAATAGGCTTTGAGGCCATGGTTTGCTAAGTTTTCCTCAAACATATGTGACTTGGTTTTTTAAGCTAGTGATGATGATTTTACTCTCTTTCTGTGGTCTACGTCTTCAGACTATGTTGTTCTCTTATTTTATATTGATGATATGATACTTACATGTGATGACACTGGTCGTATAGTGCTATTGGAAAATTAGTTGCAGGAACACTTTGAGATGAAAGAATTGGGTGACCTTTGATATTTGTTGGGGATCAAGGTTGCTTCCTCTCCAAAAGGTTATCTTTCTTTATAGTCCAAGTATGCAACTGATGTTATTCAATGAGCCTGCCTGTTAGATAATCGAATAGTTAAGACACTCGTGGGCCTCAATGTTCGTTACTTTCCTCTGATGGTGCTCTCTTGCCTGATCATACCCTATATCGCACTATTGTTGGTAGTCTGGCCACCAGAGTTTATTATTTTCTTCCTCCTCTTCTATGGAACTCGGGGCTTATTCAGATGTTGATTAAGCTGGTGACTCTATGGATCAAAAGTCTATCATTGGTTTTTATCTCTTCTTTGATGATACTCTTATTTCCTAGAAAAGAAAGAAGCAAACGATAATTGCTTGTTCCTCCGCTAAAGCTTAGTATCGTGGTATGACATATAATACAATTGTGATAATTTGTTTAAGTTGTTTGCTTGCTAATCTTGACATCTCCTTATATGCTCTTACACTTTCGTATTGTGGCAACACTAGTAGTATTCAAATTGCTTACAACTCAGTGTTTCATGAGCGTCCAAACTCTAAAACATATTAAGATTGATTGTCACGTTGTGGGCCATCTTCGTCTGAGCACTATCTCTCTTCATTTTCTTCCTTCAACTATGCAGGTGGTGTATTTTTTATAGTCTTGTACAATAGTGCGCTCTCGTTTTTTGCTCGACAAACTTTTGATGTTCCATACTCTCACATCACGAGTTCAAGGAGGAAGGGGGGTTGTTAGAGTTTATGTGGATATTTTATTTTAGGGGTAGCTTAGTCACTTACTTTATTTTGTATTCCCCTACTATATTTATGTCATTTATTGTGTATTCTAATTAATTAAGTTGCAACACAAACTAAGAGTTATTATTTCATTCTCTCTCTCTCTATTTTGCTTATCTTTTCTTCTCTTTTTAATCGAAGTTAACAGGCCATACATATTCTCTCTCTCTCTCTCTCACACACACACACACACAAACACACACACACACACACACACATAGTTGCCCCTCCTTTCTTTCGACCTTTTCATTATTTTGCATCCATGGAGAAGAATCCTTCCATTATTTTGCATCAATGGAGTCGATTCTCGGTCTTATTACCCACCAGCATCCTTTTTTCCCAATCGAAACCCTAGGATTAACTAATACTAGAAAATAAACATACATGGCTATGATATATTCTATTTACATGACTTGTTGTGATTTTGTAGTTTTTCATGTTAAGATTGTGTTTTAGATTTGGATTTTTGGGAGTTTTATGTGAAAATTTTGGATTGGGCATTTGAAGATGATAGATTTATATATATATATATATATATTTTTGTGAGTGACTCATTTTTTGAATTGGGCATTTGAACACGATAGATTTGGGCAATGGGTTTAGTTTAAGCTAGGCTCGAGTCGACCTTAAACATCCTTTGAAGAGTTCGAGTCGTGCCTAAGCACAGCCAAGCTTGAGAGGCTTGACTCGATTATCACCCTTAACTTTATATATATATTTTGATAGGAAACAAAACAACTTTATTGAGTTTAAATGATAAAAAATGGTACATCAAAAAGCACTATGGATGGATAAGACTTCTAATCATAAAGTGGAAAAATACAAACTTCAACTAATCAAATTATGTATCATATAAGGCCTTACAATTAGCTAAAAGACAAAGTGGAATACAATCAAACTCCTTTGTAATGGAAGCACCACACAACGATGACAAAAAATAAATGCGGTTCCATAAACCTTCCTTCCATTTTCCTTTGTTCTAAAAAATTCTAGAGTTCATTTCCAACTATATTACTCATATGATGGCAAGAAAAGCACATTACCAAAGGGTTATTGCTTTATTATGTCTTCCTAACCTCTCAAAATCGTCCATCATCATTGTTCACAATGGCCTAGGAATCACTTATCACAGAGGGAGAAAACACTGAGTGTGTAGAATTATTAATTAATTTGTCAAAGAATGACTTAAACGAAAACTTCGAAGACTCAAGACACCATTTTTTTTATCACTTCTGACATAACCTAACCTCATTAATCAAAGATAGTAATAACATTAATTTCGTAAAATCTCTATCATTAAGATTTCTACGATATTTAAAATTCCAAGAAATTGATTAATTAGAATAATGACACATTGAAACAATAAAACACCCATGAGAACGAGATAAATGATAAAGACGGGAAACCGTACATGAAAAAGATAAGGATCCCACCCAAATATCCTCTGAAAAATAAATTCTCTCCCCATTGCCCACCATGAATGTAATATATTGAGAGAACCTCAAAAATCCCTGAGAAATAAACTTCCGTGGGCATCGATAAAGTTCCCAGTCAACCCTTTTAGCATCTCATATATTGGCATGTAATCTATATTTGCTCTTAATAATCGAATACCATAGAGAATTTTGCTCCAAGGAAAATCTCCATAGTCATTTACCAACTAAGACTACATTTCTTGCCTTCAAATTTTCCACTACAAGGTTGCCTTTAACTTTTGTTATTGGGACAACCTTCCAACTTACTAAATGATCATTTTTTCCCTCATCACTTCCTTCTCACAAAAAATCTCTTACTATTTTCTCAATTCTCATTACAATCTTTCTTGTCATTTTAAAGAGAGTGAAAACAATATTTAGGAATACTAGCCAAAACCGATTGTACCAATGTTAATTTACCCCTCTAGAATACCAGCTTTCTTTCACCCATCTAATCATTTTCCTACCCTCTCCACAATAGGGTTCCAAAATGCTAAAGATAAAAGATTCCCCTCCAAAGGAAGACCCAAGTGTTTAAAGGCCACTCCCCCACTTCACACCCTTAGCATTTGTGCCAATCTATCAATTTTATCCGGTGAAGAATTAATGGCCACAATCAAACTTTTCTCCCATATTTACCTTTAATCTAAACACCATTCCAAATATCTCCACAATCTTTTTTAAATTGTTAACTTTTTCTTCATCTCTCCCTAAAAAAAGATAGTATCATCCGCAAATAGTAGATGTGATACATTAATTTCATCCCTCCCAATAATGAAACCCTCCACGAGATCGAATGTTTCTGCTCTCCTTACTAACCTACTCAATCCATCAGCCACTAAAGTAAAAAGGGGATAAAGGATTATTTTGTCTCAAACCTCTAGTTGCTTTCAATCTCCCCCTAGGCCGCCCGTTAATCATAACGGAAAAATTCATTGATTGCAAGCATCCATTAATCCACCTTCTTCATCACCTACCAAATCCCTTCATCTCCAACACATGATTCAAGAAACTCCAATCCACATGATCATATTCTTTTTCAAAGTCAATTTTGAAGACAATACCCTCTTGGCCCTGCACCCTTACCTTTATGTATAGGTGTGTGTGCACACTCATACACAAACATATAAGAAGTCGTGGAGGAGTTGTCATTTGTGGCATTGTCTTTTAATTTTTTACTTCATTTCGAAGCAGTATAGGGTATATTCTTCTAGCAATATCTATTTGCTTCTTTCTGCTGAATTTAAGGTAGACATGCATTCCCTTCAAAGGGAAAGAATTGTGATGCTCTTTGGTCAGATGACCAAGATATTGACAAATACCACATATGACGTGATTGTATTGTGATTACCTTACTCCTTTGCTCAGTTGATTCTGTTATATTAATTTTTGAAACAGTTACATATTTTGTCTGCTGATGTCATTTTGCTTCAGTGCAGGCCATCATGTATGTGCTTTGCTTCCGTATGAGATCCATGGTGATTGTTCCTCGTCTGAAATCACAACTTCTTCTCATGGGTATTGAGGAAATCTTGCGGCATCCATTGAATGCATTAAGGGTAAGGTGAAACATTGGCCTTCGTCAGGCAAAAGTTTAAGATTGTATAATGGAAAAACCTGCATTTTAGTAATTAATAACATGTATCTTGTTTGCATAATCTCCTAATTATAGACTTTAAGCTTATTCATTATTTAGTGTATATGTTCAAGACTTTGCAATTCCAAGTCTCTTATGCCAGGTTGCTCTATTCAATGTATATTTAAACAGATAAGTTGGCCTAATCTTCCATCAGTTGTCTCCTGCAACAGGTGTGCCTTCCATCCATAGTAGAGGAATTTCTTGGGCAGGCCAAAGCAGCTCGGCTTTTTTCTTTTTCTGAGACCTTTGTTCTTGATGGTTTGCTGGAATCAGAACTTTCCAGGGCTTTTGGTGGAGTAGAAAGGCTTGACATGTTCTTCCCATTTGACCCATGCTTATTGAAGATGTCTGACAGGTTCGTGTTACTTCGGAAAAAAACATAACTGAAAGGAACAACTAGTTTTTATTGAATTCCTATATTATTATGTCAGAGCTCTAATTGGGGTAATTAAGAGGACTTAAGTTGTCTACTTCCATATTTTCTGGTTCTTTTAGACTTAAAACTGGCTGAGGATAATCACCACATGCAACAGTTGCTTAAATAAGCCTTCTTTTGGAGTTCTAGACCTGTTTACTAGGGATGCCACCAAACCCATTTCAGTCACCTCTGCATTTAACCCAGTCTTATTTTTGAGTCGCAGACTATTTTGTTGGGGATACGAGAATTTTTTAATGTTGTTTTATTAACTTTGCTGTTTAGACTTAAAGTACACAGTTGAGACTGGAGAAATTGGTTTTTCCAGCGTTGATTTCTTCCAGTTGCTTATTGGTGTTGCACTGACCACTGGTTGTTTCTTTTCTTCTAATCACTTAATCTGTAGATTCATCCGGCCAATCTTCATTTACTGGTCATTGGTCAGGCCTAATTATTTTGGTGGCGAAGATGATGAATTAAGCAGTGATGAAGATGTTGCCGAGGATCGGTTTTATAGAAACAAAATGAATGTTGAGGGTGGTATAACTGGCACAAGCTTTGACGAGGATGATGGAATCGGCAGAAGTTTTGAGGAGGATGATCCTGATCTTGATGAATTTGACTATTCACTGAACAAAATGTCCATAACACCCAAGAATTCCCTGAATTACACGTTCGAAGGTCAACTACAGCGACGTATGCAGATGCCCTCTAGAATTAGACCCTCCACAAGTCCCGAGTCCTTGTGATTTTCTGAGGCTCTTTACTTTTTTCTGGAAGAGAAGGAAAATTGGAATGCTTATTGACATGGGGAAACACCCAATCTGCCAATTTTTTCCCCGTCTCAGCAGTGTGGTACGGGTTTGGGCTCATAGTTTATTCAAGTTTCTTCAGTGAGGAGTGAAGAAGTATGGGATATGGTTTCTCTCCTGCCGAAGGGTTGGTATTGTAATCTTGTGATGTATTTTACTACTTGAGCAATCCCATTGTAATATTTATCAAAATATTGGCTATCTAGCAGAGATGGTTTTCTAATACGGTCAATGGTTGCTTTTATGAATAGCTTGATGAAAAGTCCTTAGGTGCTCACTTTCTTGACAAATATCAAATAGTTCACAAGGACATGAGCTTCTTACTTGTCTCGGATATTGTTATTTTTCCCCATTTTATATCAAATGACAATTGTCGTGGAAACAACTTTATGGCGGGTATAAAATTGCATACATTTGACTCTTACACCATACAATGGCAAGAGGCCTTTTTTTTTAAAATCTCAGTAACCATTGGGAGGAGGGGATGGGCTGACCCCAACTATTGTTGCTGCAAGGAGTTTTTATTTTTCAAAGAGCACATTCAGTTAAGTGTTACAATAACAGAAATAGGAGAAAAGAGATCACAAGGGAATATTGACAGCAAAATTCCAAGAGACTTCTTACCATGATTTAAGAACCCAGGAACCTTTCAACTACGGTCATGGTCTTTCACCACTGCAACTAGGCTAATACAATGCAGGAATAAACATTCGTAAATTACACATTAAGCTTCCTAATACTTTGGACCGGGGTTATGCAAAGCACATGCCCAGGAAAAAGGTGTTGAGAACAAGCGAGTCACTTCTGACATGAGTCATTCTATCTCCAAGGCATGGTAGCCATGCCCTGCGGATTGTTGTTATTGCAGGCTCCAGTGCTTTGGTTTAGAGGACTTCCCGGCCCTCCTGAGGACTCGCTTAGTGTTCCACGTGACTGGGGGCTGCCCACTGATGCTCCTGAGGCAAGCTTTGGTGGAGAAATCAAACCTTCAGCTTGTCCTGATTTTGATTGCTTCCGACCATCAGCCATGAAGCTACCGACAACTACCTGAAATAGGACCAGAAATCCCAGTAATTAAGTAAAGTTCAGTACAATACTGGAAAAGCATTTATTAGGCGTGGCTTATTCATGTTCTTCAGCAACAAAGTTTGATTTTCATTTTTTGGGGTACAACGTTCAGATTTAACTTCATTCTTCTTTTCTTTTCTCTCCATCGCACTTACCTTCAGACAAACACAACCCGCATATTACAACTAACAAAAGGAGCATGAGCTAAGCTTCAGACATAAGATTCTCAATCCTCAACATCTTAATGAGGTATAACTGACCCCATCTCCCATTTCTTATTTAGCTAAAATGGGATTAACAAGAAGATTCCAATTTTTGGGACAATATCAATAGGAACATGTAATTTTTGAAATCCAAATGAGGCCATTTGACCCCTTTATTTCATGTGGCTCAGCCCATGGTCAGACTACAGAGTGCATCCTGACATTAATTTTGGGCAAGGACATGGACGGACATTGCAAAGAGATTCTTTTTTGGTCATGATCTTGACTTCTTGAGAGAGAATAAACCAGTAATAGATCTGACCAGAGCAATTCAATTCCTATACTGTATACATCCTCAGAAAGGGGAGAACAATTTTAGTGAGCAAACAAACCTGAACTGGGGCTGCTGCAGTTAGGAGCCCTGCCACACCACCACCTAAAACACGACCATCTGGCCCAGCTAGTGAGACACTCAACCCACCTGTTCTGCTGCGCTGACCACCACTCTCTGTCAGCAGAAATGAACCAGAAAGAGACAAGATCTCAAATCGTCCCTGCATAAACATGTATGCACATCTTATCTAACATAACATGAGTGAAAACTATATACCTACCACAAATATTTACGTAGTTACTGCTGTAGTTACTTCTGATTGTGCCACTTATCTGAACCCAGACAGAACCAAATGAATCATATGTTGAGAAATTATAGAATCCAATATTACCAAGAAATAGACCAACTATGGTCCTTTTTCTTCCTATATTGAGGTATCCTATTTAATGCCTTTGAATGGAAAACTCCATGGAATGATTTTATCAAAGCAATGGGGACAATGTAAAGCCATATTTGTTTTTATTCCCAGATGCATGACTGTGTGTCGACCAATCTAACACAGCTCTTTGAGAATATCAAGAAATTCACTGCCTATCATTTATGGGGAAAGGACTAGCATAATCACAATGTCAGATTTGCCATTAAAATCACATGCACAAAATTGATATAAATTTCAGACACATTTGATGACATTCAAAAAATAACTGCACCGCCCATGTAAGCTGCTAGTTTCCGCCACTCCAAACAACAACTTAAACACTGAGACTTAGGAGGGTAAAGGCAAAGATAAAATGGATAGAAAGAAAGAGTGAAAAATGACTGACTAAGGAGGAGATCACATTATCTTGCTCAATTCGACGTGAAAATTTGAGATAAGCTTTCAGCATAGCAAATGGTAGTATTTTATTTTTCATTATCATAAGGAACATCGTCTTGATGGGTCCATGCTATGCAATACCATATGTTCAAATGCTACGTGGGACCCCTGACACAAGGAAATTATTTCAGTTCAAATGTCGAGAAAGTCTCTAAATTGAAGGTCCTGACTCCTGAGCCTTGTGGTCAATTACTCAATCATATTCCTCTAACATGTCAGCTCCATGAAGATTTATTATTATGGTATCATACATTCATAAAACTAAGATTTATAAGTTATTTTAAGCACTTCACTACATGGCAAAATATAGTAGAAGATCCATGTTTTATTTCAGCAAATGTTGATCCCTTACGATATCATCATTTATAAGCAAGGATGATCTAAATATTCACTTAAATATAATCAAACCTCATAAGTTACAGTTCCACCAGATGTTGAAGCTTGGCGAAGTGTTACGTTGGATATGGCACCATTTGCTGACAGAATGCAAACAGCTCGTGTGGTATTTTGAGAAAATGTCATTAATTTCGCCAGAACATCCTGACAAGCAGAAATAAAGAGAACTCAAAAGGATATTCAACAAAGCTCAAAACACACCCAATAGGATAAAAAGAGCAATTCTCAAAAGCATATTGCTCAACATGTACAACACACCTAGTCTATAACAGAATTTGTCTCACAGTCACATGATTACAAAATGTTCAATAAAAATTTGGGGTCGATAAATGGCGGATCCAAGACAAGGGACTGGAAGGAAAGCCAAGATTTGGTCCAAGAGGACATGGGACCCATGGATTTTTGTTCAGCATCCAAACTTAGTCCTTTCCACCAAAGCAAAATTGTAAGGATGACAGAATAGTGGAATACACTGGTTGCATTGCCACATGGTACACGTCAGATAAGGTTGACCAACAACCCCATTTTTCTTGCACAAGAGAGACGTGTAGCCCATTCAGTGAAGCCCACTTGCCTTCTCAATGCCAATGGGAGGGTGACTTTAATCCTTGACAGACAAAGCCTTCGTAAAGCAAGAAGTACCATTAATGTGAGAGGGAGACAAAAGAAGAATGTGTTAATATTGTCGAGAAAGAGATTTCAATTTTTGTTTTTTTTTTTACTATAGAGAGGGAGAAAGAGTGTTCAATTTCAACTTTTGTTTTTGTTTTTTATTTTTTTTTACTAGAGAGAGAAAAAAAAGTGGGTGAGAGTAAATATGAGTCGACTTTTGAATATTTTTTAATTTCTAAATTTTTAATGTTATAGATTGGATTATAGGCCCAAATTATTGAAATAAAAATTTTGATTGAATTTAATTTTTTGGGGGTTTTTTGTAGGACTTAAAATTTAATAGATTTAATTTTTTTTGTGGGCTAGTGACGTACCTAAAATTATGGGGCCTTCTAAAAATTTAGAGCCTAAAACCCATACTTTTTTTTCCATATTGTTGGGTTAGCCCTATTAACCACCATTCACACCCCAAAAGGCCCATACAAACAAATCAATGAACCTCCTTCCCCTTCCTTCCCCAGTCAAACCAAAAACCCAACTCCAAATTTCTCGATCACTGCACCACCAAATTTTCGTCTTCTAAACAAGTAAACCTTTACACTACACCACAAAAAGCTTCAATTCCTCAAATCTCTACCAAGTTACCAGACCATCTACACTCAATCGTAGATAGCCAGTGTTGTGCATCGCCTTTCGCTAAAAAGAAGCCCCTTTGAAGATGAAGGCCATCTAAATAAACTCCTATTATTTTTCTATTTTCCTTATATTTTTATTTTCTTTGGTCTGTGATGAGCTAAACATCTACTCTATGGTGCACACAAAAGTCCAAAAGAACAGCAAAGGCAAAAAATTATTAAGGGCGTACCTCTCCAGCTTTCACTGTTATAATATGTGGTGTAAATCCAACCCCAGCTGATCCTGCAAATTTAACTCCCATAAAAACCCACAAGGACTAATGATGGCAATGCAGCTTCAATATTAAAACCATTCAATAATAGCACAAGGAATTCTGAACTTACGATGTCACAAACTTGAGTGCCAAACAAGAAGAGTTCAAATCTTTCAGAGATTATAAAACAAGTAATTGACAAAGAAAATGAGAAAAATAGCAAATTATGGATAATAGAGTTCTCACATAACAAACAACAAATGTAGAAAAAAAAAAAGTTAATCACATCACTTTCAAGGAAAGAATCTAATTCATTGCTTGTCACAATAAAAAGACCTAGAAACCTAGTGAAATCAAGTCCATCCAGTCCCAGTTCAGAATCAATGTTTACAATGTACCTTTTCCAAAAATAACAAGAAAATTCACTGATGATACAATTGCTGTCCTCCTAGGTGCAGAAAAATATAAAAGTTCCTCTTAAATAATTCTTCAAAGAGAGGCATTTCTCTCATTTACCCTCACTAATTCCAAAAATATCAAAGCATTAACCCCATTTCTCTGAGAACCCAATATTGATTAACCACCAAAAACTCCTCCAAATTGATGACAAAAAATGAAAACAATAAACCAACTTCTAATTAAAAACATTAAAGGCAGAGACTCAGAACAAATGCATGTTGCTGGAAAACAACAAATATTCCCCAAACCGTCTTGATTGGAATATAATACAATACATAAAGTAAGAGTACCCCTGTGGAAGACATAATTAAAACGCACATAAGGGAAATAATAAATCAACCATAAAATAATCCAAAAAGAACCCACGCCAATATGTACGTGTGTGGTAGGTACTTTGGGAGGGAAATACCTAGAGCAGCAACTTGGTGTTTGCGGCCGGAACCAAACGGCCTGCCTCTTTTCTTCCCCGACGACGCTGACACTGCTCCGGTCGCAGCGGATGGCGGAGTAGGAGGCTGTACCGTTCCGGACAACGGTGGAGTAGATTTCACCGTAAGAGCCATAGAACCATCCGGAGCGTACTTCCTAGGCCTCCCTCGCTTCCTCTTCATCGATTCACCGGCACTGGTGTTGATGCTCGGCTGAGGAGCCGCCACCGCCGCCGCAACTGCAGACCCATCGCCACCAACACCACTGACAGTAAGCTGATACGTAGGTGTCGGAGAGGGTGACGAAACCATCGGTTTGTACATAGCAGAGCCATCGCCGCTATAACCTAAACGAACGTTGTGCATCGAAGATTGAACCTGAACCTCGTACGATTCTCCACCAGACATTCTAATTTTTTTTCTCTGATTATTTACTCTACTTTAATTCGTATTCATTAATTTTATCTGATGAATCTATAAACCCTAAAATCCCTACAAAACTCTTTCCGAAGTAGAAAACTAATTGCCGAAAGAAAAAAAAAAAAACCTAATTAGCATAAAAAGTCGCAAACTCTATATAAAAAATTCAAATTTTTTCTACGAATCTAAGCGTTGTTGTTTTGTTCTTCAAACTACTTCAGATCGAAAAATCTCTTCTTTTTCTGAAAATTATTGAAAATTTTGTATAATATTCCACGAGAAAATAGGGGAAAATACCGTAGAAAAATGCAAAAAATAAGTAAATAAGTAGAAATTGTTTCTTCGGAGTAAAAAAAGAGTTATAAGGAAAAGAAAAAAAAAAGAAATTAGGAAATATTTATTCGAGGAATATTAGTTAGGGTTTTCTGAGAAAAGACGATGAGGAGGTTCGGGGCGAAATGAGAGAGTAGGTGTGAGATTTCAGATTATTTTTCAATACTTATTTTATATATATATATATATATATATGTATGTATATTTAGGGTTTCTCTATCAGAAATTTAGGTGAAAAGAGGCCGAATTAGGTTAAAAAGAAACCTAACAATGCCCACGCGCTCCGAATCACGTTCTTTATAGCAAATTCTACGTAAAAAATGAGTAAACATTATATGTTAACACTACATTCTAAATTATAAAGTGAGAGAGCGAGAGCGGAGCATAAAAGGGATAACATTTAAAAAAAATTTGAGAATAAGAAAATGTCTTGAAAACGTCATATTATATACATACGTACACACATTCATATATAAAAATTTTATATAAATAAAATATAACAAATTAAGATTTTATGTATAATTACGAGATAAACTATTTAATTCTTAAAATGGTAATTATAGTTTATAAATACTATTTTAGTTTGATGTGTATATTTAGGTCTAAAACAGGGCTTCCCAAATACAAATTTGAGTAATAATAAGTAAGCATATAAATAAGTAAAAACACGAAGTAGTCGAGATGCATGAATTTTGTAAAATGAGAGCACAAATTTTCAAAGAATTCATTTTTAGAGTACAAATTCAGGTGCGAAGCACAAATACGTTAGGAGTTTAAAAGAATTATGTGACTAAAATTACATGATGTCATCATCGTCACGTGTAATTAATCAATAATAAATAAATAAATAGGACAAATAAACCCCACTAACCTTATATGATTCATTAACCCTATATAATTATTCATAATTAATAGATTACATCACGTAACAATGATAACGTAGTATAAACGTTACATTAAATATTTTCTCATAAAAAAAGGGGCAATAATATTTAATTAATTGACATAAATTTTTACCACATTTATTTTTATAAAAACAATGAGATTAAAAACAACATCCGCATAAGTCATGTATATTCTAATTTATGTTTGTCTAATAGTTGCACTATTTTACCCTAACAAGTATAATTGGATTATGATAAATAATAATAAATAAATAAATTTGGTTGAGTACAACAAGGTTTCATTATTCTTAACAAAGAAAAGAATTAATAAACATAAAACTACTTACTATCAACTGAGACCTCGATAAGAATTGACTTATAGGTTAAACAAACACTATACTAGTCTAGCTTGTCATTTATAGCAATTGTCTTGAGGATCAAAACCTAATATAGTATCAATAATTAGTATCATTAAATTAGTTCCAAAAAATAAACAAAATTTCATGACAATTTAATCCCCATTTGATGCAAGCCCATTATTCTACAACACCACAATAAAAAAAAAAATGACAGACTTTGAATCTAAGATCAATCAAGTCAATCATAGAGAAAGAACGAACCTTGAAACTTGAGCTCAACCGATATTTATAAAAATTTGTATCCTCTATTTAGAGTTTAGATTAATGACTAAAAGAAAATAACACACCTATTTTTTGCTTAGATTTTCCCATATTCATATTTACACATTTCTAAGTTTCTTTTGTTATTAGTCAACCCTTTAGGTCATATATTTCAAACAGTGAATCTATAAATTAGACAATTTTCTCATTATCTACCTAAAACCACCTCTAATTATTCAAGATGGCCTAACCATCTTTTTGTTCGATCCTTAGTCCTTGTCCTTATACTTGTGAAGTCAGAATTCGACTGAGATTCTAACTCATATGTTTGTTCAGTCTTTTCACCAATTGCTCGGTTATTGTACTAACCAAGTCATTCAATTATGAGGCTCCTTTTCAGATTGGCTAAGGTTAAAACCTGTTCAACAATTTATCTATGGCTCGGTCAGAGACACTCGGCCATTAGCATATTGTTTGTACTTCTATCACATGCTTTATGCCTCATGTCTTTATTAAATGGTCTAATCATGCATGATAACTCTGAAACCCCTTCAAAGAATCACATTTAAACAAATCCAATGCAGTCCCATTTAAACAAAGAGTATGGCTATAAATGATCTCTTCCAAAATCTCAATCATGGTCCACAACCTATTCAAAAAGTCTTCAGTCTTGCATAGAAGAACACAACTGTTACAGAACCTGCGATTTTAGTAGTAAACAGCATCACCTCTTAGTTACAAGTATACAGAATCATTAGATTTTTAGGTTTTTCTCCACATTCTTTTCGGGTGATCCAGGAATTCATCTACATCTTTTCAACCTATATACAAAAGAGATGGCAGGCAAGAGAGGAGAGTATCATGTAGCTCAAAAAGAAGATTTCATAGGATTAGAAGAAACGAGATGAGAATTGACAAACATACATGCACACACGATAAACAGGAATTTCCTACACTATAATTTCTGTTTACAATCCCTTGGAGGTCCTCTTCTAAGCCTCTTCAAGGGTGGCAGAACATCATCTTCCACAGTCTGACTTGAAGCGTCACCATTACTATCTGCATCTCACAGATTAAGCAAGAAAAAACACTATAAAAGGAGGGATCCAAATAGATGCCGATATATATAGTAACTCCACCGTTCAAACAATTCATAGTTTAATTTTAACTAAAAATCCAATGTTACATGTAAAAGCACATAGCAACAATCCTGCACTGGAGTTGATGAGAAACTATCCCCCCCCAAACCCAAAAAAAAAGAAGAAGAAATGGAGAGAAAAGGGTTCGGGGGGGTCTTAAAGAGTTTTCTCTCTACAGATTTTCCATCAGTTAGAAACTTATAACAGTACATATATCATCAATCAACACCTCCAAATAATTTAGGCATGTAACATGTTTGCCAACTTGTTGATTTCAGTAAAAATACATTCAGGAACTTGAGGCTAGCACCAACTACGGTAACATTTTCACCTATTCCTTGTTATTAACTTCTGTTCACTATTGTTTCCTTGTTACAGTGAACTTCCTTTTTGCAGGTTTCTAAATTCTAATCTTCTTCGTTTTTTCAAAAATGGATCGTAGAGTGCAGTCTAATTTTCAAGTAGAGTATATTGTGCTAAAATTATTATGTAGCAACTAAAGTATATCCAAATAACATGTATTAATTATCCGCATTTTGATCAAATATTTCATGGGACCCAAATTAGTCGACAACAGGGTAATGTCCAACATAATGAAAGTCTCCCATCTGTAGCTATGATCAATACTAAGGTATTGATAATATCCTAATGTCATATCACTATTAGCCTGAGATTAAAAAAAAAAATCACTATCAGCCATCCTTGTGGGCCACTCTTCTTGTAATGTCAAATCATTAGCCTTCAAGACAGCGATGCATTCATTAGTTGATTCAGGCAATGTACTGACATGTACCCACCAATAGCTAACCCATTAGGCCATTACAAATTATTGCTCCAATTCATACACTAATAGAATTGAATATTGTCAGCAAAAGACAGATGGACTCACAGGAATGTTTCTAAATGGTCAGTGCGGGATATAGAACAAAAGATATATCTGGCAACTATAAGTGTTGTTAGTTTTTATAAATGAGTATATCTTAGCAAAAGCAAAAGAGAACTTCAAGGACTTGCCTTCAGATGTGGAATTGGCATTTTCAAGAAGCCCTTCTATTAACTTCGATGGATTCTCCATGGGATCACATTGAGAACGCTTTGCAGATACTGTGATCACTCCACGTCCAACCTTTTGTTCAGGCATTTCACATTTTCCACTGAAAGGCTTCATATAACAGAACCTATCATAGCAAAGCATTTCCATTAGACAGCAGTTGGTACCACATTCTTTTAGAGAGAGAGGGCAGGGGGAGAGATGTAGAATACACATTTCAAACAAAGTGTACTCCCTAGTTGTTTATATTTTGGGACCATGATCCTTATCCTTTAAAAATATCTCAATAAGTGATACACCCAGACCCACATCCTGCTGGCAATTCCAATTTGAGGTCCGCAGATAGAGGAACTCATGCTAATGCTGGTGGCATTAATCAACAATCATTGAAGTATCAACTTTTTTCAATGCTGGAGAAGTAGTAAATATGTTAATAGATAAAAGATCAAATTTTGCAAATCATCTTGTATTTAACTGATAAAAAAGATATCTGTACGAGTGTATCTACATCAAACAACGATTTCAAATACCAGTTTTCTAAGTGTATAAAAAATATGAGAAATATTTCACAAGCAACATCTTGATAACACTACCAACTCCACTTAATGGAAGCAAATAATAAGTAACCAGCATATAAAAATTTGAGTAATTCAACAAAACACTGATTTTCTCTTTCAATTTTTAACTCAGATCTTTGAGATGAATATGAATACCATTCTTGGGGTAACATCTTGCTGTCGAAGCCAGGGGTCAACATCCGCCACTTCCTGCATTTGTCACATTGCACCCACTCATGATCAGGTTTGTGGAGAGCATTACCTTTTATCTGGATAAGTAACAGAACCCACGTCAACCAAAAAAATGTTTTCGTTTATGCCTGGGGGCCCTTAAAGAAAGATTAAATATCCATACAAATTCTTAGTTTAAGCAGCTCAAGAGAATAAAGCATCTAACTTGAAAAAAAAAGACATTTAAATGCAAAATGCAAGTGTAGTCTTGGAGGAAGAAATTGGATTCCCATATTTGTATGTTTGAGAAACTTACCAATGATGAATAAAACAAAATTTGGAATGTACTGCTGATTAACGGATATTATTGTTGTAAGTAATTAGATTGATGACATGAATCTTGCAATATTTTTGGCTCAGTAAAGAAACTATTTTTCCATCCTCCAATTTCTTAGCTAGAATTTTTGTCTTGGCAACTTATATCATGAAATGAGTGGAGGCAGAGGATTACCAACTGAATCTTATCAACATATTTGTCCAAGTATTCATCTGATCTATTACCCAGCCACTCCTCCAATAGAGCATATGCTTCACAGTCCTGGAATCCTTGTTTGTTGCTATGAACCCACACATGACCGTTGCCGTCATTCTGTGCCAGGAAAAAAATGAAACCCATGTTTAGCTAATTACAGATTAACCTTGTTTTCTAACATATACATGTCCATGAGTGGACAGACCTACAAGGCTCATATACTTGTTTAGGAGGTGTTATTAATCAATGTTGGACAAGCTCTAACAGTTCCCGCATGTGTGCCCTCCATTTGCAAATCGAGAAATAAACAGAAGAATCAGTTGACAAATTCAGAGACACTTGTGGCACTTACAAAGGGGGAATCAATTACCAAGTAAATAAAGAGGAATCTCACTTTACATCCCAAAAAATTAAGATTTCTCACATTGCATCCTCAAATATTAGATTTCCCACATTGCACCCTCAATGTATTAAAAGTGTTGTGATGAAGCCCTTCCATTAGCTTTCCCTCAATGTATTACAAGTGTTGCAATGTGACCCCTCCATTAACTTCCGTTGCTTATTCCGTCAAAAGCTGTCATATTGTTTGAGCGTGCAATGCAAAAAATCTAATATTTGATGGTGCAATGTGAAAAATCTAGTATTTGAGGGTGCATAGTGAGAATTTTTAAATCTTTCAAGATGCAAAGTGCAATTCGCCACTAAATAGATTGATCTTACCCACACCTTACACAAGCCTACAATGAGCAGTTTGAGAGGTTATTTTCATTGATATGGGGGACAACCTCAAACAACAAGAAAAACTTAATGTGCTCAAGTCCTGCTGGTTATGTAGGCATAAAGAATTCAAAAGACTCAATATTGTACAATTGTATACCATACCAGCACCTAATACATAAGTACATAACTCATTATGACTATGACATGCATCAGGAAAAAATAGACATTTACAGGGCCAAACTCCGAAATCTTGAAAATGGCAGTGTGTTACATTTCATATTCAAGTCACATTTTGTTCCATTCAAATGCACATGTCTATGGGCGTGTGCTTGTGTTGGAACACTAAGAAACATAAATGATAATTTAAAACAAACTGTAGCTCTAAAGATTTCCTTAGCTGAAGTAGTAATCCAGCTACGACCTAAAGAAATCTAACCATCCTTCAGGTTACTCTTTCTTCCTATAAAAAAGTTGACATTCACATTTACTTTCCAGAGGCAGCCCGACATAAACTAAGGCTAAAGGAATTTTTTTTAAATGAGGTTAAATTTTAATATAATAACACAAATAATATTATATAATTGCTTACATTTCAAGACATTAATTTAAAATTTACATTCTTGCATTTTGAAATGCGAAAGTACTAATTAAATTTATATATTCAAGTTTTGTTAATATGGTTTGTCCAAAGATAATATAGCTAATCCATATATAGTCTGATAGCTGATAGAATGATGAGATAAAACATATATTAGATTTCATGTGAATACCATCATTGAAAATAAAAAATTCATAAATAGCAATCCTTAAACCCAATATGAGATAGTCAAGTTGTGTTCTATGCTGTCATTAAAAACATAAATTCTCAACAAGCACAATTGAAAATCTAAACAAAACTTTATATTAAAAAAGAATATCATATAACTTTGTTACTTATGGTAGGTTGCAAAACACAAATAGGCAATAGCATTGGTATGAAAGAAATGAGTCTCAAATTAATCATAAGAGTGCCAAAAATAAAATTCGAATTAATTGAACTTAGGTCTAAAATACTTATTACCAAATTGTTAGGGACCCTAAACAAAATTAAGCTTGACTGAACATGGGTTTAAACATTTATTTAGGACTTTAAAAAAAATATTGGGCTCAATTAACCCTTGGTTCAAAAATATTTCATTGGCCCCGAAAAAAAAAAGTGGACTCACTTGAACATGGGTTTAAAAATCATATTTAGGGCTTTAAGAACAAAATTGGGCTTAATGGAACATGTGTGTAAAAATTTTATTTGGGGCAATAAAAATAAAATCGAACTTAATTAAACATTGGTCTAAAAGTTTTATACATGGCCCTAAAAACAATTGAACCTGAATCAAAAAAATTTATTTGAGACCTTCAAAATTAGGCCCAGGCACTGTTACTTTCTAAGGGCAAGTTTTACAAATGGAGGACATATAATCTAATCATTCTCTAAACAAACAAGAAATTCCAACCTTATCATTATTAAAAAAATCAACTACCTTTAGAGTTGTAGAACACCAAATGGATTTCCGATGAAAGTGGGCCAATAATGCCCTAGCAAGCAAACCATAATAAGGCTTTTATCATTAAAACTCTATAATGGTTTCCTTCCACCTGAATACATCCCCTCCCCTCCTCAATCCCACAAAATTTAGACACGCAAAAAGGGATTGTATGGACTCCACTTTGCACTAAAAGGATCAATGTCGAGTGTGGGATCACGCCATCTTCATTTCCTCAACCATCAATCCTTATCAAAAGAAACGGAGAACTATATCGGAAAAGCATGTGTGACATCATCTCACCTCACCAAACAATCTGCCAAAATATAACTAATCCTATGCCTCACCTCAATGTAGATGGACTTAGAATGTTCACCCATCTACTCTCATCACATGATGGAGATGGACTTAGAAAGTTCACCCTATATCCCATTCATAATACCCTTCGCCCCTTCCCATTTAGACTTTTAACCCTCACGAGGACCAACAATTTACACGCACACACACACACACAATATTTACAATCCACCACTCTTTTCCACAAAACTACTCGTCCTACGCATATCTCCACATCAATTTATCTAAAAAGGCTTGATTAAACAACTTGAAATAGCATGTACGAACAAGAAATAAGGCATATCTGAAATTTCACATGGAACTCACGAGGACCTTGATTATCATGTCTTGGATTAGTTTCGAGTTAATTTTAAGTTAATAAACTGCTAAGAAGTTGTCATTTACGTCACGTTGGGTAGGTTTCGAGTAAGAGTTATTTCACTATATTCAGTAACAATTTGATGTTGGTTAAGGTTTGACCCAAATCATGTCACTGGTTCATCTCCTGTTGTGTATTTGATGTGTCCACTATGTAAAATGGTCTAGAGTCAACGAGTCAATAGTTTTTCGATTATGGACTAGGAAGCATGGATACAGATTTGAGATACGGGACAGAACCAGAAATTTATTTTAAGGGGAGCCAAAACTATATAGAGTAACTTAGACCAATGCATCAAATTATATATCAAATACATCGAGAAATGTATTATACATAAAAAAAAGACATCAAAAATCATTTGATTTTACTAGTAATAAAAGAATCCAATTGCCTATAATTCAGAACATTAACCAATTGGGGCTAGAACCCTCAAATGTAAAAAAGCAACCCACTCAAGTTTTTTGGATGTCCACAACAATGGACCGGTAGGGTCCATTAACATTAGAATTCACAACTAAACTGATTACTCTATTGAAATAAGTTATTAATTTTATTCCCAAATTAGGTTCAAGTAGCATTGCTCCCAAAACAATACGTGCAAAGGCAAGACTTCAATTGCGCAAGCATGCATGCTTCAAACATGAAACCCACAATTTATTGGGTCGACTTGTGAATACACAAAAAAGTAAGTACAACAAAATACTACCCAAAAGATGGAAACTAGACGAATTATATTGGATCATATTAACAAAATACTATGTTAAGGCCTAAAATTTATGAATAGAAAAGTAAATAGATTAGTCAAAGTTCTAAACTATTCAAGAGAGAGGGGCACATAATTGTACAGCAATATGAAGGTTTTCCAAAATCCCAAGGGGGCCTTGACCCCCATAGGCTAGGCCATAAGGTAGTATAGTCATTGGATACGGGTACTACATTTCAAAAAAATCTAAAAATATAAGATAGGAATAAAAAAAGATATGTTAGTAACTACGTCCTTTTGTATATTTACATACTAAATTTATATTGGTGATCTATAGGTATACAATTGATAAAAATTACTATTCATGCAAGTAAATTAATTTTAAATGGCAATAGATAATATAATATCTATTTAAAAATTCCATAAATCATAACTGATTAATGATTAATATAAACTTGAATATCTAGGTATTTTAGCGTGCAACTCATCTAAAACATCCAAGTATAATACAACAAATTATGATAAGATATTCAAGTTGGTATTCATATTTCACTTCCTAGATGGGTCAAATCTTGAATTTGAGAGTAATGACATATTATAAAAGGGCTTTGTCAATAAGTAACAACATATTAAGTACACCAGTCAATTTGAGGTAAAAATTATAATTTTTTAGTCTTGCAATGGAACTACTATATTTGGTTTTAAAATATTTATTTCATTTTAATTATTTACTTCCATGGACCATTTTAAAAAACAAAAAATCATATATTTCGCTCCGATGTATCCTAAATGTATTGGTAGCATATCCTCAGCATAACCAAGGATAAAAATTTGTTTCAAGGCATAATTTTAGTCAATTGGAAACGAAAATATTTCAAAAGTGTTTGAAAAATATGATGAAAACAGAGAGAAAAATTGAAAATTTGTTTCCAAAACATTAATCCAAACATATTGAAACACATCAAAATATTTTGAAACATTAAACATAAAAATTTTAAAATTTAATCAATGATTCATTTTAGTTTCCATAGAAAACAAAATTTAGTTCCTCATACCCAAACATATCTAAATAAAAATATATATATATTTTTTAGAATATTCGAGACATATCTAGCCATATCCAAGATATATTCGTCTTTGATACATATTGGCATACATAGTGAAGCATCCATGCTTCATATATAATAGACCAATCATGTATTCTTTGAATTTTCTCAAAAGAATGGCAAAATGAGTTTTGAAAGTATGGATGCGCTTTTGAGAATTTTGTCATGCTTTATGCAACCTTCCACTCGGGACCATTCTGAGGTATTTGTAAGTGGAATTCCTGAATTCTTTTTTTTCTTTTTCATACTTTTCACCTGTGAGCAAACCTTCAAACCAGTGTTATTTAGGACGTAAAATGAATCGAAACGAATTGGTCTCCTGAGAGCCTAGGCGAGAAGCGAAAAGCAAAGTGAACACTTCATTAAAGCAAAGCGAACAATATAATAAATAAGTAAATATTTTAGTTTCATACTTTGATTACTCTAAAATATTCAAATTTTAACTTTACAAATATAAAATATTTAAATGCAATCAAAATAATAAACATCAACATATTTTAAATAAAGAAGATATTCAATATTGAATATTATTGTATTCTAAAAATAATCAATTGACATGATCACATCATCTAAATGTAAAGTTAGCAAATGTGGGTTCGACTTCCATCATGATTGATTAATATCACCACTAAACAAAACACTTACAAATTGATTAATCAAATAGAGCATATAGCAAATTGATTAACAAAAGCATTCACTTCAAAACAAAGCATTCAACATTATCTAATCATAATAAGATAGATTGTCATATGATTCTATTACACGAATCAATCAATTTATTTTATACATATACATATAACATCATCTCTACTAGGGTTTGGTTAATGTTAAAGAAAAGAAGGAGAGGAAAAAATAAAAAAACTGCAATTAGGCGTTCGCTTTTCTCACCTGGCTCGCTTCTTCACTTCGTCGCCTAGGCTCGCTTTTTCCTCACTTTACTTAACCTCGATTCGCCTTGGATGTTCAAGCCGACCAAGGTTCGCTTTGCTTCTCTTCTCGCCTAGGATCACTTTTCACAACACTACTTCAAACAAATGCTTTTAACCTTTGATCCTTTCTACACACCCATACCTGACCAACCAAACCTATTAGCCTGCATATTAGCAATTCCATGGAATTGTGTAAATTTTGCAATCAGTCACTTTTGGATCAAGACAATTTCAATCCTTTTAATCTCCATAAACCCTATAATCTCCATTATAACAACTAAATCCCTAATGGTGGAAGGATTCCTCCAAATAAACCCCCACAAATCCCGTTATGGGCAGGATAACCTAGTTTCTCCCCAAGTCATCCCATGTCACAACCCCATCTTCCTCACTCCTAAACTCCAACTTTTAGCCTGATATCATACAACATTTCAATTAACTAAGTGGTACTTGTGATCTTCACTATCCGTTCAAAACAAAAACATTCCTTCCTTAGCTTTCCGATTTTCACCTCTACCACAATAATAACAAGGAGAGACATGAATGAATTGGGAAACTTGAGTGAAAACTACTAATATGGGTCGGCCTCCCCCATTTTGAGACGTGCCTGTTCTACTTCATGGCATGTCTAGTATGAACGCGAACTTATGGAATACTGAGCTTATTCCAGTTTGAGAGGTACAGGGTTGGAAAGTCACGCTGGCACCATGGGTGCAAGAAGGGCGGACTTACATCTTCATATCTGGGCCTTCCTTTAGGCTCATCTTTTAAGCTAAGGTAGTGTAGAATATAGTTGATGAGATGTCTGAAAAGAGGATTTCCAGTTCGCAAAGGCATACATTATGGTTTCAGGATGAACAAGAAATACAAAGGGCTGGTTGTAACTGTTTAAATTGGACTGGCTGTGGCTAGAATAATTTAATCATACAGAATCAAATAAAAAGTGAAGAAGGATAAAGATAAGAGAGGAAGAACCTATGATCGGGTTCTTAGCTTTCACAGTTCACACCTATGACTGCGTCCATCGCATCACATGATCTTGAATCCACTAAGCTTACTATTATGAATTCTAATATAGTATAATATTAGAAGGCTGTCAGACTCCTACTACTATCAGCAATAGAAGCCCAAAGATAGGAAGGACGTTGAATCATTGACATCTGGGAAAATTCCAGATGCATATTGGACCAGATCAAAGACCCAATCACCTATATTTTGGGTACCTAAAATAACCAAAATAAATCACTAAATAGAGGAAACATAGAGAAACCAATGCCAACTGTAACCTTAAGCTACATGAAATACCAGATTCAATCGTATACTTGGTTGCATAAGGTCTTAAACAAACTGCCAAATAAATTTCCACCTGGCCCCTTCTTTTCGCAACTTACTTGTAGCAGGCCCTTAATTTACAGATTTTACGTATATAATGTTTTCATAAATGCAGCGAATTTCATAGAAACAAACTACCAAAGTGACCGATCCAAAGTAGAATGCATACCATTAAATCTGTAACATCAATGACACCAATTATCCCATGACTTTTATCGCCATTGTGGATCATGCTCCCAACTCTCTTATAAGCCTACAAGGGAGTAGCAAAGAAGGGCCAGGAAAAAAAAAAAAAAAGAAGATAATCAACAAGTAAAAAGAAGCAAAAAAAATCCATTTTACAATAATGAATAAGCAACATCCAAATGCAAATAAACAGCATCAGAAAATTAGATCCACCCCACACAATATGCACATTTTTCCTCCACTTAAATTTATGAGCACAAGATACACCAATTTCAAAACCCAAATCCCAAGCATAAATAAAAACAAACTGTGACCCACTTTTCAGTCGGGAACAAATCTTATTTGTATTTTAATCCCAACAAAACAAATCATTGGTCATAAAGTGTTTATTCCCAAAACTTTGGTTCTAAAAGCGAAAGAACACCTAGTTTGGACTAGATTGTTATTGTCAATGTCAAACTTGTTGGGGACACAGAATGCTTCTAACACGTTAATTTATTTTATTAATATTTTTCCGAACACGTTTTGCACATGTGACCGACACATTGGGCATACGCGACTGACATGTTGGAGACAAAAATAGAACATACTAGGAGATTGGCAGAGTAATCTTTTTTTTTTTTTTTTCATATTTCTTGAAACTTGTCAAATAATAACTTTATAAATAAGGTATTTTTTTGCAATTTAAGTGAGATAGTGGTCAAAGAAGTATTATAAAAAGCATCATAATACGCAATTGTGGACACGAGCATAATTTCATACACGATCACAATAGGGGCTACAAAGTTAGAAACAAATAGAGCACATCATTTATATACAAATAAATTGAGGAAAATTAGGATTACTTATGGCTCTATAAAATTGAATGAAAATCAGGGTTTCAAAGTTGGGGAAAAGAAGTAAAATAGCAAATTCTTTCCCACAATGCAATCTCAACTAGAAACTTATCTTGAAAGATATTAGCATTCATCTCAAACCAAAAGAGTCGCCATCATTGCACATCCCCATAGATTACTTGCCTTCTTATCCTCACCAAACACCTAAAATTTAATCACAAACATCGCCGATAGTGCTCTGCCAATAAATAAAATCTTCTCCATAATACTAATTACCTCCTTAAGATGTTTTAATGATAGATTGATGTGCATGGTTGGAATTGCTGCATTAATCAACTTGATAGTTGGTCTGGTTTGTGAATTTTTTAAGTCCTAAGTTCATTGAAATGATACCATATGTACAATATGCGTGCGCGCACACACACATATAATATGGCAAATTGTACTTTGCCTTTAAGAATCCCTACTTTGCGCCCTTAAAGATTTGATTTCTCACATTACACACTCAATATATTAAAAGTGCTACAATGTGACCCCGCCGTTAATTTCCATTGCTGATTATGTCAACATTAATGGGGTGGTTTTTAACGGAATGAGCAACAAAGACTAACGGCTGGGCGACATTGCAACGCTTTTAATATATTGAGGGTGCAATGTGGAAATATAATCTTTGAGGGTGCAATGTGAGAAATATAATCTTTGAGGGTGCAGAGTACGATTCCCCAAAAATGTGTTAGTGAACTACTCTTTTAATATCCTATGTCCCCCCACCCCCAAAATGTGTTAGTGAACTACTCTTTAAAAAATTTTGTGTTGGTATCGTCCACGTTCCGTGTCCATGTATGTGCTTCTTAGATGAATAAAGATGGATAAGCCGACGAAGTAGATACTAGATAATACCACATTAAATGAGTGCATTTGAGGCTCAAGGATGATGATATCGAGGTGTACACTAACAATGACATAGTTTAGGTTGAACTGTTCGATTAGATATCAGTGAGGTTGCAAGAGATCACGTAATCAAATTACTAACAAGGTGGCTTAAAGTAATGTTTCCGGGGAACTGTGCTATAAACTAATTAATGTCATGTGGTGACAAAGTTGAGAGTAGAGCTTAATCAATACATATAACAAATGAACTGGGAGAAAAATAAATTAGGATATAGATAGTGTGACTAAGGGAATTTTCAAACATGAAAACTATTTATATCTATACTCCTATAAAATCTCAACATCTATGAAGAAGTTACCTAATTTACCCTTAATAAAAAAAAAAGAAAAAAGAAAGAATGCCTTTTATGTAACATCTACTCTTCCCAAAACTGCAGTTACCCTTTCTTCCTATACTCAATATACCATCCATCGTAAATGATCCACATTACAACCTCATTTTGTATTCCTTCCATTACGTGACTGTTGATGTGCACCCTTCATTTGGGGGTGCTCTCATTTGTGTAAGCCAATGGGACTTTTTCGATGTTTGAACTTCATACATGACTAAATATGTCCATTGCTTTTCTTTTGTGATTCGTGTTTCATGAAACTAATCTCAACTAACATTGTTTTTCTTTGATTTCATATAAGTAGGGAAAAAGATGTTGACATCAGTAGTTGTGGAGACAACTTCTCAACTTCGCTTTTGTCTTGCCCAATTCATTTTATTGGCAAGCGATCTCTTTTTGTCGTTTTCTTTTGTGGGTGTCTCTCTTTTCTCCCAATTGTGCCAAAAATTTAATTAGTGTATTGAAATATACTATTTTACAGTAGAGAATGATGCACAGTAAAAATAAGAATGCAATAAAATTAAGCGCACGTGGGGGGTGGTTGGTCCACCCCGAATTGGTTGCTTAGGACTCCCAAGGTTCCAAGGGGGGCTCCGGTGGACTCCATTTCATGATCCAAGGTTCCAGCAAAAACGAGGTGCAAATATCCGCTTTGCCTTCAGAGTCCGATTTGACCTAGTTTTTGGGGGATTTTGACCAAACAATTTTACATTCACTTTTAAATCGATAAAATGAACTTATGTGTGAAATTTCATCAAAAAATAACACTATTCTATTTTTTTCAGTTTTTGTCGACATGCAAGTTGAGGTAGAATTTCTCAATTATGGAATTGCAAGATTTTTCGGACTCTTTCTAAACTTATCAAATATGTTATTTATATTTTTTTAACATGTTATTTGAATTATGATTGGATGATTTACTTGAAACTGGAACTCTGGACCCGGTTAGGATTTTGATGTGCTCTTTTCGCGATGGTTCATATTGATCATATAAAATTGAAACTCCAGGAAACTTTTGAATGAAACGTAAGTGTACACCAAATCAAGTGATAGAGTGTTTACGTTCCAGGTTGAGACCGTAGAGGGTTTCTGATGTAGGATAGTAATATAAAATTAAAATAAGGGTTTTGAACAACAATTATGCTCTGAACAATAACGTGAATAGTAATTTTGACAATGAATCACTCCTAGGATTCCTTAGGCATCACACTTAGGGGTTAGAATTACATCACACAACTCAAGAAGCATATAATTGCTAAAATTTCTGAAATATCTCTCTCCTTTTTATTAAAAATATCATTAACTATATATAGAATTTTAAGTACTCATAATCCTAAAAGATTAGCATTTCAAAGTCTCTAGGACTATAAAACCTCTAGATCACTAAAATTAGAAGACTAAAACAAACTAGAACTGGGACTCTAAATTCTAACATATCCAATACTAACCAATTCCAAAATTTCTAAAAATTACAAAAATATCCTTAAGTCTAAAAACTATTAAAAGGACATATAAAATACTAATAATAACAAATTGACTCGAATTAACTTAAAATAAGACTCAAAATATAAAAATGCAAGATTCCATATGGATCTTTGTTTTGAAGACAATCCAATTCTATTATTTTTCACATCTTTGAATTTGTATTTTCTTGAACATCTCGTGGATTACATCATTCTCCCTTGGTTGGAAAAAACTTGACCTTGAGTTTTAAAATGTTGCAGTATGAAAGTCCAAAAACTTTGAACTTGCATATGTAGTTGTCTTTGAGAAACTTTAAGATAATGCCTCCTTTTCTTCTTGAAATGAGGGAATAAAGAAAAGATTTAAAAATTGATCTCCTCGATTGTGTCATTAAAGTTTTCTGGAATGATAAAATTAATTGGTGGAGCAAAATGGATAGAACGAAGTATTGGTGACTCCTTATGTAGATTCTTGGAAGATGCAAACAAATCAAGCTATTAGGACATCGTTGTTGTTGGTTGAAAGTCAATAATGGGAACAATTTCACGCAACACTTTTGACACTATTTCAGAGCTCTTAGATAGTAACTTACTCATCTCTAAATGCACATTTGATTCAATACTAATTAGATTTTCCATCTTGTTAGGGTCCACAACAAAAAAATTGTTTGAATATTCACTTTTTTCCTTAGCCTCTAGATAAGTAAGTAGCTTAGTTTCTTGGAATTGTGTTGGTACTTCTACTTGATTTCCTCCATCTTAAATTATTGGCTTGTTTGTTGCTTTGGGCTGCTTTTGATGAATCTTCTCTAGTTGCACAGTAGAATCCAAATAACATTGAGTTTTAGCCCTTTGGAAAGAAGAAACCCTTGATGTACTTGATAAATGAAATTTAAATACATCTCCATGCCAAGTGCCACTTGAAAGGTATGCTCTACGTTATACAAGGGCTGCCCCAAGCAATTATGCCTTTATATTTGCCCTTAAACCAGCCTTGAATCGAGTAATTGTTTGACGGGGATCTTCTATGATTTGACTTTTCAACATTAAATCTTCAAATCTTTGAATATACTCTGTAACAGATAGAATACCTTGATAGAATACCTTGTTGTAGATTGGTAAGTTGACCAAGGCTGAGCCTAACCCTTGGGGTTAGAGATCTGAGCTTGAGTCCGGATCGGGAAGATGTTTCGGGGAAAGAGGGTTCTCCCCAAACTCATTCTATTGCGGACATGAGCATATACTTCTTTCTCCGTAATCCCTAACTTTCAAGGTGTATACTTATATTGAGTTTGGTACGCAGGAATGGACCTTAGGAATGGAATGAGCATTACCAAGTAATTCACATTCCATAGGTTGGTTGATGGTAATGAAATTTGACTCCCATTCCTATGGAATGATAAATCCCATGGGCCAAGTGATTAGCCATTCCCACCAACACACACATGGTATTGGTCATTCCCAAAGAAGCGGTAATAAGCCCAA